AGCAGCCATATTAATTTAATCCATTTAATGCTGTTGAAATAAAAATGTAAAAACTTATTTAGATTATAAGTGTATAATTAGGAAAAAATATGTTGTAGAATTTAAGAAGAGTTATATCTATGTCATATATTTGTCCTGTACACTTGAACTGAATAACTGATTTAAAATGCTGCTGCAATTCAAACATTAAACTATAGCAGTCTGATGGAGTGATGAACATTTTGAAAATGTTAACTTTTTGTTTAATAACAAAAATATTTTATCGCTTCTTTAGAACTTAGTGTTTAACTAATCAATTCATCTTACAGAGCTATCACATTCCCAGAATAATGTGACAAAGAACAATGTTTTTGTTATGGTTTGATTGAAATGTAATAAAATATTAAAATTGAAACCATATTAACATTTTACATCCTAATTATTAGAAGAATTAAATATTCAACTTTAAAAAGTTTTCATTTAGAATACAGTGATCTATTTTCTTCTATTGCTTTTAGTTTTGTAATGGAGCAGTATGCATTGTTACATTCATTTCATATATTTTCTTGAGTAGTAATTTAGTTCATTGGAATATCTTACATTAAGTTTCATGACTTTATTATATTTAAATGATGATTTTAATAGTAAGATAAAAGAAATATTTTTAATCTAAATATGTAAAATTACTTGTCCTGACTGACTGAGTGATTGATTCATTATTGCCCAGAGAAAACTGCTGAACCTAAAGAGGTGAAATTTGGTACACAGTTAGAGTACGTCATGAAGACACACACTAAGAAGGGATGCTTCAAAATCCCCCAATGGGAGAGAGGGAGAGGACTAAGGTTTAACCTTCTGTACTATTTTAGATGCAATTTTTTGTTTTCAACTACGTTTAGTCTTTGTTGTGTACTTAGGTGTATTAAATTTATAACATTTCAGACATTGTTATAAATATTTTTATATATTTTGGTTTTTTAACCAAATGTTCGAACCGTTTTAAATTCGAATTTGTTATTGCATGTTGGTTTGATTATATAACAATTGTAAATGTTCCAGAAAATTGATCAAATTGAAAACAGTTTATTTGATTCTCAGCAATTCTCATCATTCTCAGTTGTAGGTGTTATATAACAATTACTATGGTTGTTGAAATACTGAATATAAATAGTGTTTGCTTGCAAAATTCGCACAGGCGAAGTCGCGGGTAACAGCTAGTGGAGCTATATAAGCATAACATACAATTTGGTTAATGAATTTATTAATATGTTGAAATCAGAAATGAATTATGATGTTGTCTTGTCTAATACAAAGCTAAAATTAGCAATGTTTGCTGAATATAATCAGTCACTTTTATAAAAAGTGATATCTAATCTCATAACACAATGATTTATAGAATTAAAGAAAAAATATATGGGATCTTTCATAATGAATTTTAAAGTGCATAATTATGTTAATCATTATCCAAGAAGTATGCTGTATACACCAATTGATAGAGTAACTTTGTGTTTCATCTCCTATCTATATTCAGACGTCTTGTTTTTGATTCCTTAAGGAAATGTCATAAGTGAAAATGGTGATTCCACAATACAGAAGATGTTTTGATTTCTGCAGTTTGCAAAGTCTGAATCATTCATCATTGTTCAACATGTATAATCTGCAGGAGCCGAAGAATTATAACTGATGTGGGAGGAGTGACAACAGATATGCTGTAGAAGGTGTAGGAAGAATTTGAGTATCGGTTGGATGTGAGCTGTTTGACATGGAATGCACACATTGAGAAATTGTAATGGGCACATCTGAAACTTGGACTGTTTTTTAGTGTTTTAATGTACATTACAATGTTTTCAGATAATACAATAATTTAAAATGGTAGCATTCATTTTGGAAGAGCCTGTATGTATTAATTTAACAATAACATAAATTAGTTGGAAAGCAACTAGAAGTGTTCAAATAGAGGAAAGGTTGATCTGTTAACAAGAAACAAGCTGTTGGATGATAGATTCAAATTACAAACTGTCTAAAATCTGGGATGATGTATAACATTTACTCTTCACTCAAGATGATGACATAACCTTTTTCTGGAATTCACCTTTTATTTACAGTGAAAAATCTTAACATAGCTTAAAAAATAATAGATCACAATTCAATTGATTTTATTACTCTGGTTGTAGTTGTCTATTGTAGACTTTAATGCTTACGTAATATAAATTATTTTAGGAGATAGAAATAGCAAAGGTATCTGAAGAATAATAATTACAAATAAGTTTTGTCTTTGTTCAGATCAAAAGCAGAGTTAAATAAAAATAAAACAAATATAATTTTGTAACATTAGTTATTTCTGTCATGGCATATTTATTGGTCATAAATAATGGTGATCAGTGAAGAGAACATTTAATTTGAAATAAAAGTTTCCTTAAAAAGATATTATCAGATACATTAATTAGAAAAAGAAAATCTATGATTAGCAAACATTTTTTTTAATAAATATATTGAACCTATTGGGATATCTGAAAAATGACTGTGCAGTGAGAAATTTGTAGTGACATTAAAGTTATATATATGATATTGCATACAAGACCAATGAGTTGTATGCAATACTATACAATCAGCTGATACTGAATGGACAACTTATGAGTCTTTTTATAAAAATTAGCCAGAACAAATTTAAGTTTACAAAATTTAAGAAAAATTCTTGAGTAGACAATTCATACAAATGTGTCTTTTAACTTAGTTTTTTCATTCACACATTAGGAAAATAACAATTCTGTGGCCGAGTCGACCTTTTATATAAGGCTACTCGTTCTCCATCATATGAGAAAAGGTTAAACATAATCCATTCGGTGGTGGGGTCTTGTATATAATACCATATGTTGTCTGGTTATGGTCTTGTATGTAATATCATATATATAACTTTAATGACATTACAAATTTCTCACTGCACAGTAATTTTTGGACACCTTGTAGTTTACAATTTATGTACATTTTGTTTAAGACTTGTTCGAAATTAATTAGTTAAAGCAATCACTAAAAATTACACGTGAATAAGAAAAGTAATTGCAAAAATAAATTGTTTTTTAGGTGAGTAATTTTGAATTTGAACACATATTTCCAGCTTGTATAACTATGTAATTATTAAGTTTGTTACTCAATGCTTAAATATCTGTATGTTAAAATTTGTATAAAAGTCCGAAAAGTAGTACTAAAAAGTGTAATTTTAGAAAAAAGTTTAGCTTCTTTAAGAAAAAAAAACTACATATATACAGAGTTATTTTTATTATTATGAAAGTCAGATACCGGTAATGTTAGCAAATTGGACACATTTTACAACTGATGTGATGTGAAGAACTTTGGAATTTTCATAAAAATTTAAATATCTAATTGTAAATTTGAATTTTATCAATGTTTATTCTGCTAGTGTGGCCAGTGGTTTCAATCGAATGAATGGAAAGAATTCAAGAGAGTCAGCCACACCTGCTTTACTTCTTTCTAGGCCATGTGGATGTGGAGCTGGTGATTCTGGCTGTATTGACTGTGGCTGTTGTCGAAGTTGTGCAAGAGAGAATGATCAAGATGCAGATGCCGCGTGGGGTCAATTAGTAGCCGGGGGACTAGTTGACAATAAGCAAGCCGATATTATTGTTTTTGATGTCAGATACGGAGGTGAGAATTTATTTTTTTAAATATTGTTTGTTCTGTATACGAGAGAACTTTTCATTAGGCTAAAGAAAAAGCTAATTAAAAAAAAGAGTTTTTCTGTAATTTTTAAATTATGGCATATAATTTAAGTATAGAAAAAATCAAAACTTTTATATTCAGTAGTATAATGACAGTCATCTTTTTTATCTTTTCATCTATTATAAGGCAGGAACAAAATACCAAAATCAGCTATAAACAACCAATGTATATGTACAGTTGTGTTTAAAGTACTACCAATTTAAATGAAATTATTGTATTAAAAGTTGGATTTTTGCTTTTTATGTTGTGAACTTTCTATTCACAACATGTAAAGCAATATCATGTCATAAAATATTTTTGAAATTTTATACTTTTTATCTTCAAAATTTGTCTGTAAAAACTATATAGGTGAACTGAAGATTTAGTTAAACATAAAGATTCATTGATAGTATTATATATTTATAGTATATGTTATCACTCAGAACTGGAAATGATGACACCACAGGTATAAAGGAAAGAAGCTCAAATTAGTAAAGGAGTCAGGATATTTCTTTAGATGAACTGATATTTAATTCGATCTTCAATCGATCCCAACTGACCCCTGACTATTTTTTAACCCTTGAAAATGCCGTATTTGACTCCTTTGGGATTTGTGATCTAGTGCAGCTTTCTCGCATTCAGTCTCTATCCTGGCACTTTTTAATTGTTCAATATTTTGCATTACACAGCATTATTCTTTACTACTAAAACACAAACTGTTATATTTCCTATAATTTACTTACACTTAATAGATAAGACATCATATATTTATTTCATGTAGTTATTTATAGTTCTGTTTGTAAGGAACCAAGTCCGAACGTTATTTTTATTTACTTTTATTTTGCTTATTATTCTATTTTGTTTGGGGCTTATGTTTTGTTAGGNTATAATAATATATTGCATTTGTAGATATTTTTATGCATAAAATACAGTTAGAAAGATAAAAAAGAAAGGCTTAATTTTGGTGGTTGGGAATGAATTAATCTATTTTATATTGTTTCTCATGGGAAAATTTATTTTGGTTTTACAACAAATTAGTTTTCGAAGAACTTTTAGGAACAAGTTAAGTTTAAAAACTGGGGTTTGACTGTGTAAAAAGTTTTTAATAAAATAAGAGATGGTGTCACATATAATTTTAAATTTTCTTGTCAGGAAAGTTATGCAATTTGTTGCTGGATTTTTTTAGAAATTGCTACTTTTAAAAATTAAAAAATAATAATTAGTTATAAAAAAATCTTTAAAGCGCAATTGTATAATTTTACATAGTTTTTGATATTTTATTCAATTAATTATATTGTTTTCAGTTCAGCTGCCTGTTGCTATGGCTACAGCACCTGAAGAAGAGGGTGAAGATGAAGAATTAGAATCTGAAGATCCAGATTTTATTTGCCCTCCAGGAAAACACAGATGGAAACATGAACAGTGCATGGTTTGTACTGTATGTGGTGAATGCACTGGATATGGATCTAGTTGTATAGCAAGTGGAAGACCTGATAGAAATCCTGGATTGTAAGCATATTATTAAATAATAAATATTTAAATAATGTATTCAGTTTTAAAGGATTGTATAAGAATTTATTATTTTTATGCTCTAACATATTCATTTTTCCCATAGTAAATATTAAATTAACTTAATAATAAATTAGTAAAAATGAAAATTCAAACATATTTTTATATATTTGAATTTTTAGTGTTTAAAAGTAATCCAAGATTATGAAAACCACAAGATACAAATTTTAAAATAAAGTAAAAGTTTGACTGTCTTGAGGTTTTAATACAGATTAATTTATTCAATTTTTATTAATCTTTAGGGAACCCTCTGACTAGGGATACAACATAACATATTACTCAATTCATATATATACAAAAATTAATTGAAAAATGACAAATGTTCCCACTGACCAACAAAAATAGATAACAATTTACATAGACTAGATGACTGCATTCTTTTTTAGTTAGACCAGGAAAAACTTCTGGAAAATAATGAAAATACAAACTGTTGGATCAACAAAATCAGTGATTGTCTTGTTAAAAGACATAAAAGAATAAGGATGTTCATATTAAATTACTTTTTTTTTTAGAGAAAAATAATAGAATATTTTTCAAAATTATCAAGTACAGTTATAAAAATTTGTAAATAAGTTTAGAAAAATAGTAAGTTCAAGCAATGTGATAATCACTTTGTTAAAATAAGTGTGATAATTTTCTAAGATAAATGCCAAAATTAACTCTTACAGTAAATAATATATCTGTCATAATTATTAGAATTTATACAATGCTTAAAACACTGATTTCTATTCAAAATTGCATGTTCTGCTTTAAGGCATACACTTGCATGTCATACTAATCAACAGTAATGTAAATTATTCAATGATTCTTGTAACATCATTTTTTAGCATAGCTTTTACTTGCATAGCATGCTGCTTACTCAATAAAGTTGGCATAAACTAAAACATTATGGTTATTTTTACACAAAACATAATGTTGATACATTAGTTGACGTATCCATTTAAGATATTGTTAATTAGAAAGAACTTCATGCAAAATTATATATAGCAGATGTGGAAACTGGAGGGAATGTCAGAAAATAAATTCACAGCTTAGAAATCAACTTCATCAAAAATTTTAATCAAACAAAAAACATTTTCAACCTAATTTGATAGGTCTTCATCAGTTGAGTATTCCAAAATAGAACATATTTGAATAAAAAAATTCTTGCTGGAGTTGATTTTTAAGGTGTGAATTTATTTTCTGACATTCTCTCTAGTTTCTGTATTTGTTACATTGCAACTCATGGCTTCGCTGGCCAAGGATTATAGGAAATTAGTTCTCAAACTCTGCAGAACTGTGGCTAGGTTGGAGTTTATCATACAATGCCATGATGATAATGCCTATTGTATGCCCATTTTTTATATATGATTATAGAATTCACCTGTATTAATTACACGAATGTGGATCCGCTATCTACTACATGGAGGTCTCTGTATGAGCTCTAACTTAATTTCCTTCAATGAAGCACTTCTACATTATTATTTTATTGTTATGTTGTTCTATTCTATTGGTATTCAAATATATTCTATTTTGGAATACTCAACTGATGAGGACCTATCAAATTAGATAAAAATGTTTTTATTTCATTAAACTTTTTGCTGGAATTGATGTCTAAGGTGTGAATTTGTATTCTGTAAAATTAAATGTTAAACAATGTCAAAATATAATATGTTTATTTAAGAATAATTTTTAATTAATCAGAAATAATTTTAAACAAGAATTTATATTTTTCTCTTTTAATTACAATTTGCTTTCTGCTTCTGATACTACATTTCATGTATAAATTTTTAACACCCATATTCAAATATCCAGCATGAAATTGTTTTTCTATCATTTTTAAAAATCAAAACTTTATCTCATAAGATATTTGTATTTTATTTTTTATATATTTAATATATTATATTATATTATTATTTGTACAATGGCATTTAGTTTGCTTTATTATTTTTATTTTCTATATTATTATTTCAGATGCACATCATTTTAATCTGTTGAAAAATATTAGTCCAAGCTTGAAGTTATAAGATATTGAAAATCAATATTTTGATGAATAATTTCACAAAAAAAATATAATTTTGAATAATTTATTAAATTTTATATGACAAAAGTTTAAATTTTTCAAAATCACCAATTATTTTTTCTAATGTGGTATTTTTTATACCCCAAAAATTTTTCCGATCCTTTATAGCAAGGGATTTACCATCAGTTGGGCAATATATCTTTCAGATTTCTGATCTTTGTAACTTGTTATTTCCAGTTTGTTTTTAAATAAATCTCAAAAAAATTAAAATTTTGTTAATTTGATTTGCTGTATTTTTATGCAAATAAATATTGTTAATGATTTACACAATAACAAAAAAATTTGGTTATGATTACTCCATAGTTAAGAAAGATTAAAGGTTAAATGAAAGGCTCTGAAAGATGTATTATTTGAAAATTCTCTGACAGAAAGGATCAGAAAATTATTCTTTTAATCACAGATCTGTAAAATTTTAAATAAATGGTACTTACCCTATGAAATAATTAAATGAGGATGAAAGAAATTTTGTACAAAATATTAAAACTGCAAACTAACACCTGTAATTTAATTAAAAGGAACCATCTTATTATAAGAACAAGTGTTTTCAACTCAACTGTCTTTAACAGCCATCTTCAGATTATGGAATGTTTCATTTTATTTAAATTTTGTTTTATGTAACATTCTATAACCTGATGATGGCTGTTAAAGACATTTGAAAACATTTGTTCTTATATTAAATTGAATTCTTTTAACTGAATTGTTACAGAACACAATTTAACTGAATTAACATAACACCTGTAATTCAGTTAATTTGTTGTCTGTGCTTTCAATATAATCTCATTCAGTTTTGCAGTATCTGTTAATTGTACAAAATACTTGTAATTTTATAAATAATACAACTAACCCGATAGTTATTTGAAATATCGAACAAACGGGCAAATTCTTTATCGGGCTGTAAGGCTAAATAATTACTAAGCTAGCCTCCTGTAAATTTTCTTTGTAATTATTTTGCCCTATAGTCCGATAAAGAATTTGGCTGCTCGTTTGGTACTTGTAATTTTGTAATTAATATGTGAATCAGATTATAAGCTATTGATATCTGTTCAAATTCTAAATTATTCATCTTAGAAAGTTTAATCCTAATTAAAACATTTTATTTTTTAATATTTTAAGCTGTTTTATTTTATTTTTATCCAAGCATAATTTTTTGATAACTGCAATAATGCACCTATAACAGATGAATTTATCACAAAATTTATTTATTTATTATTCAGATAACTTTTTTTATAATTGTTTATTCATCTTTTGCTAATGAATCTGCACACCATTGATAAAATTTCATATAATAGAAATATATTATTTTTGCAAGATATATCATAAATTCAGATTTTCATAATGTAATAATAATAGCATTAATTACTTATGATATATATTGATGTTAATTACTTTTAACTTTTATTATCTTTAAAATAAAGTTACTTATGTAAATATTTAAAATCAATGCTTGAAAAATGCTTTAAATATATGTTAAATAAGCTATATATGCTTATAAATAATTATGATTATGCTTATTAATATAGCTTTGCATTCCAGCATCTATCTGTGAGCTGGTTTTCATATAAAATTCAAATTTACAATTTGTTTTAATATAAAACTAAATTGGGCGAATTCATCAATACGATATGAAATTATACAGGAAAATTATGAAAATATTACTTTCCTTTGTAAACAATCACAAATAATTTGGTTTGTTAAAAGTATTAATTTATAGTTCATTAAATAATTGCTTCAATAAATCACTCACTCAGCTACATACAACTGCATTATATTGTGTAGTTTTTAAACCAGGACTTCCAAGCAATTAATATCATGTTTAGGTTCCTGTAGTTGATAGACTTCCACTCAGGTGTTGATTTATAGATATTCTGTTGGTTCTTTCTTAATTAGTAAACCAAGTGATTTTGGTACATATCTTCTATTCCATAATTACATAATTACTTGTGTAATGACTGAATGGGGATGCTGAAATGATGTTGTTGTAGTGATTCAAAATTAATTTATATTAGACAGAGAATAATAAAAAAAATTGTGTCAAATGCTAGCATGGCTACTTGGTTTGCTTCAGTTCTAGACAGTTGAAATTTGAAATAGATCTGTACCAAAATCATTTGGTTTACTAATTAAGAAAGAAGGGACAGAATATGTATAATCAGAATTACAAGAAAATAATTGATTTATAGGTTTTGAGGGCCTCAATGTGTCAGAGATGATGCTTAGTACTGATACACCTGATAAGCTTATCTTCGTCCTACTGAACCTTGACGAAATTGTCAAAGGCGTAAGCAGCCATATTAATTTAATCCATTTAATGCTGTTGAAATAAAAATGTAAAAACTTATTTAGATTATAAGTGTATAATTAGGAAAAAATATGTTGTAGAATTTAAGAAGAGTTATATCTATGTCATATATTTGTCCTGTACACTTGAACTGAATAACTGATTTAAAATGCTGCTGCAATTCAAACATTAAACTATAGCAGTCTGATGGAGTGATGAACATTTTGAAAATGTTAACTTTTTGTTTAATAACAAAAATATTTTATCGCTTCTTTAGAACTTAGTGTTTAACTAATCAATTCATCTTACAGAGCTATCACATTCCCAGAATAATGTGACAAAGAACAATGTTTTTGTTATGGTTTGATTGAAATGTAATAAAATATTAAAATTGAAACCATATTAACATTTTACATCCTAATTATTAGAAGAATTAAATATTCAACTTTAAAAAGTTTTCATTTAGAATACAGTGATCTATTTTCTTCTATTGCTTTTAGTTTTGTAATGGAGCAGTATGCATTGTTACATTCATTTCATATATTTTCTTGAGTAGTAATTTAGTTCATTGGAATATCTTACATTAAGTTTCATGACTTTATTATATTTAAATGATGATTTTAATAGTAAGATAAAAGAAATATTTTTAATCTAAATATGTAAAATTACTTGTCCTGACTGACTGAGTGATTGATTCATTATTGCCCAGAGAAAACTGCTGAACCTAAAGAGGTGAAATTTGGTACACAGTTAGGGTACGTCATGAAGACACACACTAAGAAGGGATTCTTCAAAATCCCCCCATGGGAGAGAGGGAGAGGACTAAGGTTTAACCTTCTGTACTATTTTAGATGCAATTTTTTGTTTTCAACTACGTTTAGTCTTTGTTGTGTACTTAGGTGTATTAAATTTATAACATTTCAGACATTGTTATAAATATTTTTATATATTTTGGTTTTTTAACCAAATGTTCGAACCGTTTTAAATTCGAATTTGTTATTGCATGTTGGTTTGATTATATAACAATTGTAAATGTTCCAGAAAATTGATCAAATTGAAAACAGTTTATTTGATTCTCAGCAATTCTCATCATTCTCAGTTGTAGGTGTTATATAACAATTACTATGGTTGTTGAAATACTGAATATAAATAGTGTTTGCTTGCAAAATTCGCACAGGCGAAGTCGCGGGTAACAGCTAGTGGAGCTATATAAGCATAACATACAATTTGGTTAATGAATTTATTAATATGTTGAAATCAGAAATGAATTATGATGTTGTCTTGTCTAATACAAAGCTAAAATTAGCAATGTTTGCTGAATATAATCAGTCACTTTTATAAAAAGTGATATCTAATCTCATAACACAATGATTTATAGAATTAAAGAAAAAATATATGGGATCTTTCATAATGAATTTTAAAGTGCATAATTATGTTAATCATTATCCAAGAAGTATGCTGTATACACCAATTGATAGAGTAACTTTGTGTTTCATCTCCTATCTATATTCAGACGTCTTGTTTTTGATTCCTTAAGGAAATGTCATAAGTGAAAATGGTGATTCCACAATACAGAAGATGTTTTGATTTCTGCAGTTTGCAAAGTCTGAATCATTCATCATTGTTCAACATGTATAATCTGCAGGAGCCGAAGAATTATAACTGATGTGGGAGGAGTGACAACAGATATGCTGTAGAAGGTGTAGGAAGAATTTGAGTATCGGTTGGATGTGAGCTGTTTGACATGGAATGCACACATTGAGAAATTGTAATGGGCACATCTGAAACTTGGACTGTTTTTTAGTGTTTTAATGTACATTACAATGTTTTCAGATAATACAATAATTTAAAATGGTAGCATTCATTTTGGAAGAGCCTGTATGTATTAATTTAACAATAACATAAATTAGTTGGAAAGCAACTAGAAGTGTTCAAATAGAGGAAAGGTTGATCTGTTAACAAGAAACAAGCTGTTGGATGATAGATTCAAATTACAAACTGTCTAAAATCTGGGATGATGTATAACATTTACTCTTCACTCAAGATGATGACATAACCTTTTTCTGGAATTCACCTTTTATTTACAGTGAAAAATCTTAACATAGCTTAAAAAATAATAGATCACAATTCAATTGATTTTATTACTCTGGTTGTAGTTGTCTATTGTAGACTTTAATGCTTACGTAATATAAATTATTTTAGGAGATAGAAATAGCAAAGGTATCTGAAGAATAATAATTACAAATAAGTTTTGTCTTTGTTCAGATCAAAAGCAGAGTTAAATAAAAATAAAACAAATATAATTTTGTAACATTAGTTATTTCTGTCATGGCATATTTATTGGTCATAAATAATGGTGATCAGTGAAGAGAACATTTAATTTGAAATAAAAGTTTCCTTAAAAAGATATTATCAGATACATTAATTAGAAAAAGAAAATCTATGATTAGCAAACATTTTTTTTAATAAATATATTGAACCTATTGGGATATCTGAAAAATGACTGTGCAGTGAGAAATTTGTAGTGACATTAAAGTTATATATATGATATTGCATACAAGACCAATGAGTTGTATGCAATACTATACAATCAGCTGATACTGAATGGACAACTTATGAGTCTTTTTATAAAAATTAGCCAGAACAAATTTAAGTTTACAAAATTTAAGAAAAATTCTTGAGTAGACAATTCATACAAATGTGTCTTTTAACTTAGTTTTTTCATTCACACATTAGGAAAATAACAATTCTGTGGCCGAGTCGACCTTTTATATAAGGCTACTCGTTCTCCATCATATGAGAAAAGGTTAAACATAATCCATCCGGTGGTGGGGTCTTGTATATAATACCATATGTTGTCTGGTTATGGTCTTGTATGTAATATCATATATATAACTTTAATGACATTACAAATTTCTCACTGCACAGTAATTTTTGGACACCTTGTAGTTTACAATTTATGTACATTTTGTTTAAGACTTGTTCGAAATTAATTAGTTAAAGCAATCACTAAAAATTACACGTGAATAAGAAAAGTAATTGCAAAAATAAATTGTTTTTTAGGTGAGTAATTTTGAATTTGAACACATATTTCCAGCTTGTATAACTATGTAATTATTAAGTTTGTTACTCAATGCTTAAATATCTGTATGTTAAAATTTGTATAAAAGTCCGAAAAGTAGTACCAAAAAGTGTAATTTTAGAAAAAAGTTTAGCTTCTTTAAGAAAAAAAAACTACATATATACAGAGTTATTTTTATTATTATGAAAGTCAGATACCGGTAATGTTAGCAAATTGGACACATTTTACAACTGATGTGATGTGAAGAACTTTGGAATTTTCATAAAAATTTAAATATCTAATTGTAAATTTGAATTTTATCAATGTTTATTCTGCTAGTGTGGCCAGTGGTTTCAATCGAATGAATGGAAAGAATTCAAGAGAGTCAGCCACACCTGCTTTACTTCTTTCTAGGCCATGTGGATGTGGAGCTGGTGATTCTGGCTGTATTGACTGTGGCTGTTGTCGAAGTTGTGCAAGAGAGAATGATCAAGATGCAGATGCCGCGTGGGGTCAATTAGTAGCCGGGGGACTAGTTGACAATAAGCAAGCCGATATTATTGTTTTTGATGTCAGATACGGAGGTGAGAATTTATTTTTTTAAATATTGTTTGTTCTGTATACGAGAGAACTTTTCATTAGGCTAAAGAAAAAGCTAATTAAAAAAAAGAGTTTTTCTGTAATTTTTAAATTATGGCATATAATTTAAGTATAGAAAAAATCAAAACTTTTATATTCAGTAGTATAATGACAGTCATCTTTTTTATCTTTTCATCTATTATAAGGCAGGAACAAAATACCAAAATCAGCTATAAACAACCAATGTATATGTACAGTTGTGTTTAAAGTACTACCAATTTAAATGAAATTATTGTATTAAAAGTTGGATTTTTGCTTTTTATGTTGTGAACTTTCTATTCACAACATGTAAAGCAATATCATGTCATAAAATATTTTTGAAATTTTATACTTTTTATCTTCAAAATTTGTCTGTAAAAACTATATAGGTGAACTGAAGATTTAGTTAAACATAAAGATTCATTGATAGTATTATATATTTATAGTATATGTTATCACTCAGAACTGGAAATGATGACACCACAGGTATAAAGGAAAGAAGCTCAAATTAGTAAAGGAGTCAGGATATTTCTTTAGATGAACTGATATTTAATTCGATCTTCAATCGATCCCAACTGACCCCTGACTATTTTTTAACCCTTGAAAATGCCGTATTTGACTCCTTTGGGATTTGTGATCTAGTGCAGCTTTCTCGCATTCAGTCTCTATCCTGGCACTTTTTAATTGTTCAATATTTTGCATTACACAGCATTATTCTTTACTACTAAAACACAAACTGTTATATTTCCTATAATTTACTTACACTTAATAGATAAGACATCATATATTTATTTCATGTAGTTATTTATAGTTCTGTTTGTAAGGAACCAAGTCCGAACGTTATTTTTATTTACTTTTATTTTGCTTATTATTCTATTTTGTTTGGGGCTTATGTTTTGTTAGGACGAAGGTTTCCTCACCATTCACCTTAGTAACTTAAAAATAGAAGAAAAACCAACTCACCAACGAAAGAAAAGCGCCGTAGAAAAACTCGCGCACACTTGCGCTTCCCCAAGCGGAAAAAAGTAAGTCCGCACCGAGAAAAGGGGGGAGACCCCACAAGCACGAATTAGGGACTCGCTAAACCTTAAAGAATAAAAAACGTCCCGAAAATTGTGAAAAAGAATAATGTAAAAGGTTAGAGAGTATTGTCGGAAAATAGGCTGCCAGACAAACGAAAAAAGTTTATTGTTAGCGTTAAGTATGTAAATGAGGAGAGTGATCTCATTCAGAATTGTGACGTCACCTCACACTATAAATCCCGAGTCTCAAGTGAAGATGAACGAGGTGAACTCCTGATAGCAACGAGCTTTGGTGAGCTTCGTAGCAGTGAACGAGAGAGGTGTCCGATAGGATCAAATAGTTCCAAGGCGATTTTGAAGTTATTCGATTTATGGATCGACGATTATAGAAAGTCTTGAGAGTTTGAGGAAATAGGTTCCTAGTATATTGAGGTGACGATTAGGATCTTTAATTTATAAGAAATATTGTTTATAAGTTAAGTCTTTGATTTTTGTCGAATTCCAAAGGGGAATAGAATTAAGTTAGAAATAGATTGATTTGAGTTTTGTCGGGTTGATTCTTGTTGAATTTCATTGAATAAATTATTGTTTGATTTTTACTAAATACTGTATATAGTTTATTACTAGAAGTTTAATTAAATATTTGATTTTTGTTATTGACAAACTTTGTCATTATTTAATTCGGTGCACGCTTAAAGTCCAGGCCTGGCACACTAACGCGAATCCGCGTAAAGTACCCGTTAGGGAATGGCTATTTCCAGCACGCAGTAGTGTCGATAATCGTTGGAAAAGTTGGAAAAATAATATAGTACTTTACATGTTTATTATATCATTAATATCTGCATCACATTGTTTCACTGATAACAAATAGGAAAGGATCCTGTGCAAACCTTATGGGAAATAGGTCCTGGTGGATTTGGCTGAAACTTTGATATTATGTAGTTCTTGTGGTTTATATCAAAAGTACCCACAGGCGCAGGCATAATGGACAGTTTTTGAGTTATCAAGCATCTGAGATGAGAAGGGGCGTCGAAAATGTTCACTGACATATGACACAACCACTCCGGTTACAAGGTTAAAAGTAAGAGTTATTTTTTCTGAGATGCAAAAACAACATAATTCATATCATATGTAGGGGAGAACCTACTGGGAGGGAAATTTGCAAATTCAGCAAAGTCATACCACCTAAAAATATAATGTATTTATACGGAAAGAAGTATAAAGAAAGGGCATACAGAATGGAGAGAAGAGCCAGCTTTCTTGGCTAGTATTTTGTATGAACTATCAATATCAGTCCTAGTTATCACTTGACAAAATCAGTCTTTGCATCCCTCCAACTCCTTCAATGAAAAATGTCTATATACGATCCTGGTTGTGAAGCCATAAAGCATTTTTATTTCAAAAAATGATGTATTTTCAAATGTTATTGCTGTTTGGCATATTACCAGGAAATCATTTATTATGTGATACATGCAGATTTGATTCTCATACCATTTGGGTTCATACCATACTAGTAGATACAGTATACTTTACTATGTAGTGCATGGACACCCATCTTGAATGAGACTCTCCCCACCAACATTTGATAACAGTTGAAAGGAATTCTGTTGCAGAACATATTATTTTATATTTTGGAACACAAAAGATTTAGGGCTTCATGATTTACACAAATAAAGCTGTTTTTTTCATCTTGGATGCTCAGTAATTCAAAAACTACCCATTTCTTTACTTTCTGTTTATGGAAACTTTCATTACGACCACTAGAACAATAATATCAAAGATTCAGCCAAATTCACTCATATCCATTTCCCATAAGATTTGTGTGATGTCCTTTCATTTCGAATTTCAAGTAGAAACATTAAAACTATTTTAGATAAAATTATAAATCATTTATAGTTTTATCTAAATATATTTCTTATGCCCGCATTCACTAAAACGTACACTCCATACATTTCATATTTTCTTATTGTTCTTCAATGTTTTTGATTTTAAAGCTTTTCTTTACCATTCCAATTTTCCATTTTCTCTTTAATGTAAACATGATTCCATTATCTGAAATACAGTATATTCTTGATTATCTATGTGCTGATTATTCATGCATGCTTATGTCTTGATAAAAATTTACATCAGGAATACAAATATTAGCATTAAAATAAAAAAAAATCTGTTTTGTTAATGTTAACTCTTGCTATTTAAAATAGTCAGAACTGCTACCAGAACTTCCATCTATATTTTCAGCAAGGTTGCACATCCAGGAAATCAAATACTATCAGGTTCAAAATAATCTTCGTGGGCAATCACACACTTATGCCAGTGCCTATAAAGATCCTCAAAACATTTTTTAAAACCATTTTTACCACCTCCTTTAGCATGATTTTCACAGTGGCCTCGATTTCTTCAGAAGTTCTGAAATGTCACTCTTCACACGATCTTTTATCTTTAGGAAGAAGTAAAATTTACAAGATGCTAAGTCAGAGGAATAATGAAGGTAAGGCAGTGGTGTCCTGCCATGTTTTACAAGTTGTTACTTTACAAGAAGCGACCGCTGTGCATAAGCATTGTTAAGTTGCAGTATGTAGTTTTTTTGCTGCTTACATTTCTGGTCGTTTCTGATCACTTCAGATAGAAGGCATCATGCAGACAAGCAAACACCTCTTTGTACCTTTGCTTGGCGAATGTCAAACCATTGGGAATGAATTCAAAATCATGAAGTATTTCCAATCAAAAAAATTTTTAGCATTACTTTGCTCTTCAAGCAGTCCTTCCTGTTAAAGCATTTTTTGTTTTTTGTGGAGGATTTTGATTTCCATAATATTGATCGTTGTTTGCATTGTGGATCATAAAAAAAGCACCATGACTTATTGCTTGTGATGAAATTTGGATCTTGATCTACCATCAATTAGTTTCCCACTGATAATCATTTGCTCGTCTTATTGGTCTTCAATAAATTTCCTTGGGATAATGTTTTGGCAGATGCAATGCATCTGCTGGTCATCCATAAGAATGGCAAGGAAACTTATCACTGAAATTCCTACTTCCTCTGCAATCATGGCAACACATTCTTGATCATTATGTTGAACAACTTTATGCAATTTATGCACAATTTCCTTGTGTTTTGATGTGGAAATGGTTATTGTCATCCACTAAGTCCTAGCCATTTTTGAATCTCACAAACAACTCAAACACTGATAAATATGCAATTTTCTGGTTTCAATACACTGTTTGCAATATCTCTAGTGTTTCCATGACCAATTTTGACAGTCTGGCTGGATTTAATGTTAATTTGCTGCTCAAAACAATCCATCACAATTTGACAAAGCCATACAGATTTGATTGTTTGGCTATCATGCTTTCTCTAAGTCACTGACCACATATCTAGTCCAATTGCATATAGCTCAAAAGCTGCCCTTTACCTTTACCACACACATTGAAGTATTGTTGACATTGTTCATGAAGTCTCATCAGTCTGGAAACTTCTTGAACCTTGTACATGTTTTTCAGACAAGTTTATGAGAGGAAGATTGAAATATATATAGAGCATAACAATGGGATAAAGATATTAAAGCATACACAAAATTATTGTGTAATCTTTAATATCTTTAATAATATGAAAAAAGTTATCATTTTTATGTGTACTTTTTAGTACACATAAAAATGATTTTACAATCATTTTTATATGTACAAAATTACATTTTTACTTTATTTTTTGACTTGTATTTTTCATTTATGAAAAAATACTCTCTTTATTTTAAATTTCAAATTTTTTGTTTTATCTTTAACTTAATATCTTATAATGAAATATATATAAATGAATTGGTTTAGGAAGAGCTGGAGCACGCTTAGAAGACAGATTACGAAGGAGAATAGAAGAATATCGCATTCGCCAAAGAAGAAAGCAAATGCTCCAGTCGATAAAAGCGATGAAGTCCGGTCATCCAGGTGTTCGAAATTTGGCACTTAGACAAGAAACATCGGAAAAAGTTGCTGTACTCGGTACGCAAACATTAAAATATTTTTTGTTTCGAATAACTAACTTTAAAAAATAAAAAATTTTATATTATTTTCTGTTCATTTTATATATATACAGTAGAACCTCAATTATCCGGACCTCTATTATCCGGATTTTCAATTATCCGGATTGTTCAAAATAAACAAAAATTTTACGAATTTGCTGATTTGCACTTGGCGAATTACGATACTGTTTATGTACGTGATGGAATGCATAACTTTTTGTTTCTACAACGTCTCACCCAGCACAGTAAACTCTTAAATATATTTTGCGTCGTAATAAAAATATAACTTGACATACGTATTTATAAATAATTTATATTCAAATTACATCATTTCTATGACCAAGGGCGGTGTAAGGCATGGGCGACGTGGGCCACCGCCTATGCCTGGCGGTCCGAAGGGCCTCGCGTTTTGAAGGATTACGCATTATTTAAAAGCCGCGAATGCGACAAAAAAATTTTATTTGTCATAAAATGATAAATAGTTTGTCAAATTTTTATTCATAAAAATGCAGTTTCGACTGCAATTTATTTTATAAAATCCGTCTTCTTGCGCTACCAGAGGGCCTTTTAAACAATAGGTAGTATGTTAGCGTTGGTCAGTAGTAGTCCAAATTCGATACGAACGTTTGTTTCTTGAAAATTTGATCACGGTTTAAATACAGTATTTACTTTTAATATTACCGATATGTCATCGAAAAGAAAACGTGTTGTATTATCATTAAAAGACAAATTAAAGTATTTGTTTCTATTATCCGGATTTTCCTTATCCGGACTACCTTCATCCCCAATTAGTCCAGATAATCGAGGTTCTACTGTATATATTATTTTAATTGTATTTTATTTTAAATATTCTATGCACGGAAAGCTAGAACTTCTGTAAGTAAGTAATATAAAACCTTCAACACTTTTTTCTAGCAATTTTCTTTAATTGAACTAATGTTTATGGCTATATTTAATGGCCTTCCTCAGGTTCGACAATATTTGGAACATCAGATATTCGAAAATTTGTTTTTGTTTTGATGATGTCATGGTGTTTAAAAAAGTTTTTTCTTTTTTTTTAACAAAATTTCTTTTAAATTACAATCATTAAATATACATGGAAATAGAAAAAAAATTTAAACACAATTAATTAATAAATATGAATGGATAACAAATTAGAGTTATACGTTAATTTGTTTTCATTCCTATGACGTCAATGTTTTTACAAAATTATTAAAGCATAATTAATTAATAAATATGTAAATGGATAATGAATTACAGAGAATGATTATTGCCGATAGGATTAAAATATTTATAAATTTGTAGGATTGCGATGTCATATATCGTGTGAGATAGATGGGTTAGCCCACTTCCTTTAGGGGATTGTCAATGAGTAATTGCCAAGCTGAATATCTGACGTTTCAAATATTGTTGAACTCGAGGAAGGCTATTAAATACAGCTGAAAATGTTAGTTTGATTAAAGAAAATTGCTAGAAAAAAGTGTTGAAGGTTTTATATTACTTATTTTAAATATATTATTAATTCTTCTCAAACTGCACTTAATAAAAAATAACTAACTACCTTTTACTCACCTTTTACATGCAGTCTATTTTATTAACATAATCTAATGTTTTCGATCAAATTAATTGACCTTTGTCAGTATTGAACAAACAATTTTTGATTTATGACGAGCGAAACCGATTATATAATGTTTTAACTTTAAACGCTTTCTCAGCGCTTATTGCGCAAGTCTGAAAATAAATAAATAGAATCTACAGATTGATAATGTACAAATATATGCATACACTAACACTTAAAAATAAAAATACAAATTAATAATAATAAAGAAATAGATGATATAACTGGCTTCTACTAATGTCTGTCCGTGCTTTTTTCTTTATGCTGATACGTTCATAATGCACCCACTCTCCATGCTGTGGATACTTTATATAATTCTTTGAAGTTTATAGCCTGTCCTGCTAGACTGCTCTTATGAATATGCCAGACTTCTGCATATTTAATATGTCTCCTGTTTTGCACCTTATGCATTATTTCTGCTCTTTCCCATTTCACTAATACCTTTGTTGAGTCTGCTATAATGTATGTCGCTAAAGCTGTTACGGTTTGCTCCTTCTATACATTCCTTTTGTGCTCTTTTATTCTTTTTTTTAATGAGCTCCTTGTAGCTCCAATGTAGTACAGTTCTTTTTGCCGTCTCTTCGTTCGTCCTGATGAAGGTCAATTAATTTGATTGAAAATGTTAGATTGCGTTAATAAAATAGACTGCATGTTAAAGGTTAGTAAAGAGTAGTTAATATATTATTAATGTTTTTATTTTTTAATAAATTTTTAAAACTATATTTTTTTCTAATTAATTCAAGTTTTTTTAAAAGTGAAGTGATTCTTAAGTTTGTAAGGTCGGCGACTTTAGGGGTAATACGTTAATTGTGCGTCAGGAAAACCTAGGGTCAAACCATATATGGGTAGTGGCGGTAGGAGACAGAGATGACATGTGTCTTACACGAAAACCGTTTATTTTGACATTAGATTAACTTACACAATAAGAATGACAAAGCGTAACAAGCTGGACGTCCGGTGTTCCATTCTTTATATGCCCCGGGGCTCGAATGAGGTATAGACTGAAATTCTTGCGTCCTGTGACGGAGCTCTTGCGTTCGATGACAGAGTTCTTGCGCTCGATGACGGAATTCTGGCATCCAATGACGGAGTCCTGGTTTACGGCTGAGATTCGACTGTCAATCTCTCTTGAGTGTGGATGTCCATGTGCTGAGGACCTGGCGTCTTGGAGAGAATCTGCTGCGTGTCCTTGAGATTCAGGGGTTTTATAAGATTTTTCCCGAATCTCACCCTTCTGATTGGTCCCATTCATCCTCTCCCTTACCCGGATTAGTCATTCTTTTGTTTCTAGGCGAAACTTGAGACCAATCCAGGTCAGGAAAGGTCGGAGAGGTGATGATGGGGCTTTTAATGTTTGCGCTCATATTTTACTCCGTTATGGCCCTTTTTTCTGTCATCTTTGAACCTAAACGGTCCACCAGATGTTCCTTATGACCATTTATCCGCTGTCGTGTTCTTACTTAACAGCTGTCCCTTTTGTTCTTAGACCTCCCCTTTCTCCCGCTTGCTTCGACCCGACACTTGTTCGCGAGCATCTCGACAAGGCTTTTTCCTCTGTCGACATTCCCCCTGCTGGTTTATCATCGCGCCGCGTGTGTTTTACAATTCGAAAAGTTTTTGTCTCATCTGGGTTCTGTCATTAACATCAGACCTGTCCCGATTCTATCCTCGAAACCTTCCGATGTAAAAGTTTCGTAATTAGTTGTATTTCCGACACGCTCTTACGACCCTCACAAGTTTAAAATGATACATTGTAAAAATTTATTTGCAAAACTCAAATTCAAATTCTGTAAATTCAGTTACAAATCATAGTGAATGGATTGGAGAGATTTTCTCCAAAGAAACATCTAATGTTATAATCTAGTGTTGCTAACCTTTCTGACCTCACAGACACTAAACTCATAATTTTGAATCCTGTGGACCACTGTCATGAATTTTTGTAAACAATAAACATCTATAGAATAATGATTATAAATGTTCCATTTTACTTTATTAATATGAAATTCACTCATTTAATTATATCAAATTAACGTGAAGTTTGTTGCTGCTTGTTTGATATAAGTTTATGAATTCTTGGCTCTTTTCCACGAACAACGACAATCATACTCACATTATTTATTGTTGATTAGTTATTGATTTATTGACATTATTGTTTATTGATAATAGTCCTTAAGTGTTTGGTATTAGATTTGAATAAAAACTGCCAATGAGTGAGAAAAAGCAATCAAGGATTTTCATTTCTTTCGTAATTCTTCATGTAGCTTTGAGTTGATCAATGTCTAAATTTCTCCACGGACCACCAAAATTCTCTCGTGCATCATCAGTGGTCCATGGACCACTGATTTGCAACTGGTTATAATTAATAATAATTTTATATGTAAAACTTAGTATTTAAATTTTTGTTATATATATTATTCGATTTTTTGGGATGATATTACTTTTTCATTTTGAATTATCTTCATATTATTTAAATAATAATTTATTCTCGATGATTTGATTTTTGATACTAGGTTCTTCAAATTGTAATTTTTCTATCAGATGGCCCCACATAAAATGTTTTTGAAGCCATGTGTGCTGAGTGCACACCATCATGGCCAAATGCAAATTTACACAATGCTGGAAACCTGCAGTATGTGTCTGATACTCTGAGTTTAAACTTTGATACAAAATGGTTGAGATAGCTATAAGCATATGCAGAGTCTTTTGTGAGGCCATTGTGATGACTTGCACTGTACAGCAATTATATGAGAAGTTCAAGATCAGTGATCTGAACTTGGAAAATGAACCCTGAAGGAGGCTACCATTTGCTGTTTTGGACATTGCTTTGAAGGTTGTTGTGGAAGTGGATCCCAAGCAATATCCATTTCTACAACAGTCTTATGGCTGTTAATGGATGGTATGATGGATGGGTAAGATGAAGAAGAGCATCTGACAAGAATGGGTAAAATGGTAAAGAGAGATCCAAAATTTTACATGATTTGACATCATATCAGCATCAGTATTTGGAGATCTCATTTGTGCTGCTTTAGAGGTGTCACAAGAACACTTTCTGTCACGTGTTGTCATTTATGATGAGTAGTAGGTCTTCCTTGACAACTGGAAGAGGTCTGCCATTGGGTTATGTTGGTGCTGCCCTATTACAGTTTTTGAAACTTCCCCTGTAAGCTAAGAAGATTATGCTGACTGTTTGATGGACCATGGAGGGTACTGTGCATCATTTATTTTTCTGACTGGCATATTTATGGCCAAGCATTATTGCAATGAGATTGAAGAATAATCAACAGTTGAGTATGAAACAATTTCTATAGTGAATCATCATGGTTTATCATGGAATCATAATTGCTGTTGCACAATAATGGAAAACTGCATATGGCAAGGCAAATGGTACATCTCTTGGACATAGATTATGAAGTTCTTCTTTATCTGGTGTAATTATTGAATCTTTCCCCAACCAATTATCATCTTTTCAAGGCATTCAAAGTGTTCATTTGCCACAGATAGTTCAATTCATTGGAGGAAGTGCTCAGTGCCTTCTGTAATTTCATTGCCATTGGGAACAAGAAAATTTTCCATTTAAAATAATGCCAATGGTGCATTTTTCAAATAAATTTTGCATCTATCTTGTTTTGTACAGGGTTGTTTTGTTCACTTTCATAAAACATTTCATATGGGACAATCTGATAATTTAGAATTAATGAAATTTTAAAATATTTTATATTTTAGAAGATGGAGTTGGAAGTGACCATGAAAGAGAAGCCACTAAGTTGACATCTTTGTCACCAGCACAATTATACATGCCAACAGATAGTCCTGTTGTGCAAATTGCTTGTGGGATGCATCATACAGGTTAGTTCAGACAATTTTAATTAATTTTATTAGTAATGTTTATAAATATTAACATAATTGTTATTAATTCAGAATATAATAAAAACACATAATTTAAGTATGGCATTTAGATTGAGTCATATTTATAAAAACAATTAATTTAATCATTTTCTAACGGTATGTTAAGTCCAATTTAAAAAGGTTTTTAGTCTAACAATTTGTTATGGCTTCAAGATTGTAGGTTTTGATCTTGTTTTAGGTATGATTGAATTTGTTTGTTATCATTAACTTATTATATAAGGAAACAACAATAGTAAATACATTAAATAGAAGGAAGAAAAAACTTATTCATTTTAAAAATCAATTGAAAGTCTGCTGCTTATCAATATATAACAGTTGGCCAATCCTTGATATGATAGCAACTATAATCACCTAACAGAAATATGCAAGAATTGCATCCTTTTTGGAAATAGTATTTTATATTATAAATAGTTAAAATATTACAGTTATCACTGTTTTTTTAGTAAATATTACTGTTGTTTTACTGGTACTTATGACCTGCTATGTAAACATTCATTGTTAAATTCTTTGACTTTACAAGTGTAGCACTTCCTTAGCCTTCAATATTAAGTTGCGAGGACACATATAACCCATGTGTAAATCAAACCACAGTATAGAAAACTTACAAAAATAATACATATGTGTAAGTAATATGTACCAAGTTTATAAAAAGAAATCATTCAAGTATATGGGAACTGCAGTAAAAGTCTAGAAGAGCTGCAATTTGGTCACCATGGGTATATAAACAGTTTTCATTTAATTGTTTATTACTCTTTGTATGTACAGTACATGTTTGTATTTCTATATTTGTCTGTAATTCTGTTTTCATTATTGATAGCAAAAGACAAAAATATGAACATTTTAAATATCAGTAGATTAATTGTGATTCTGCATAATTAAAGTCAAATGATCTAAAAGATTATTTTTAATTTAAATTAAATGTTTCATTGAATATTTATTATTAATTTCTAATTTTTCTTTTCTACTTGTTTTTTCATTTTATAAAACAGTTTAATATTGAATAGATTTAATAAAAAAAATAAATATTAATAAGTAATGAATTTATTTTTTTCAGTTTTATTATTACAAAATGGTGAAATATATACGTTTGGTAGTAATCAGCATGGACAGTTAGGTTTAAATGATTTCACAGTAAGGTGAGAATGTAATTTTATGTGGAAGATAAGATCTTTAATTACAGCAAGTATAAAAAAGTATAAAATAATTAATATGAAGTAAATTAAATTTTATATTTTAAAATAGTTTGTAGCTTTCATGAAATAAGTTATAATAAATTATAAATGATTCAAATAGATATTTAATGCAATCAGTTTTTAATGTAGTAAGGAGAATATAATTTAACTTTGTTAAAAATGATTCAATATCTTTAAAAGGTGTTCCTTTTAAAGATATTGAATTATTTAACTATTATCAAGAATCTGATTTCATTAATGTAAAACACATAACTCATAATTATAATATAAATAAGATTCTTTCCTTTTGTTGAAATTGAATTAAATCATTACTTCATTATGAAATAAGGCAGAAAATATAAATAAAAAAAAANATTATTTAGACTAAACATATAGTTATGAACTGCAGATACATTTGAACCTGTCTATCTCAAACATGCTCATCTCCAAAACCTATTTATCTCAAAATTTATTCTTCTCCCTGCATTTTCAGCCAAAATCCAATATATTTTCCATAATTACCTCAAATAATTTTCTCCCGAAACTTCTGTATTTAAAATTATGGACTGAACTTTCAATTACAAAGTCAAATTTTGGCAACTACATTTTGATAGTGTAAATTGCAGTTGAGAAACATCTCTTGCAATACATTACACAGTTATAATTAATGCTACTTTTCTGATTGGCTATGAGTTTGGCTCGTGTCATATTGGTTGAATAAAGGCTGGTATACACGGTAAGGAAATCCTTTGAGGATTAACCAGGATTTTTTTTTCTATCTATCCATTTTTAAATAAAAATAATTCTTTATACGTTGGGAGATATTTTAATAAGTTTTGTAAATTACTATGTTCGATCCAGCCAGTTATATCCGAGTTTTTTTCATCTGTTAAGCACATCCTTTGAGGATTTCCTTACCGTGTATACCAGCCTTAAAGACAGGCATCAGAAACTATTGACTTACTATTTCTGTTAATGTGTATCAAAAATGTTTTATTTATGCTTAATACAAGTATGTACTGTACTTGGTATTGTATTAATATATCATACCTTCAACCAAATCTATTTACCTATTACTATTTACTGTGTAAGAATCTCTATATCTCAAAACCTGTCTCAAATTTTTTACTTATTTCTNGCTGGTATACACGGTAAGGAAATCCTTTGAGGATTAACCGTGATTTTTTTTTCTATCTATCCATTTTTAAATAAAAATAATTCTTTATACGTTGGGAGATATTTTAATAAGTTTTGTAAATTACTATGTTCGATCCAGCCAGTTATATCCGAGTTTTTTTCATCTGTTAAGCACATCCTTTGAGGATTTCCTTACCGTGTATACCAGCCTTAAAGTCAGGCATCAGAAACTATTGACTTACTATTTCTGTTAATGTGTATCAAAAATGTTTTATTTATGCTTAATACAAGTATGTACTGTACTTGGTATTGTATTAATATATCATACCTTCAACCAAATCTATTTACCTATTACTATTTACTGTGTAAGAATCTCTATATCTCAAAACCTGTCTCAAATTTTTTACTTATTTCTGTGAGATTCAAGATAGATAGGTTCAACTGTATTTCGTTATTACTATAGATGCAATTCATATTTATATATTATAGCAATTTACTACAATTTCTCCTTTTTTAAATGTCAAATAAAAATATATCAAGCTTTATTTCAGAAGTCAAAATACTGAATATTCATTAAGTTTTTATGAGAAATTTTTTCTTGTCATCAGAATATCTGTTACACAGCTGTAAAAACTAGAAATAAATTTTGTTATAAATTAATAAACATATTCTGATATATTTTTATTTGATTTATAATTATATAATTATGTAGTAATTATTTCTTAATTTTTAGGGGATCTCCAACTTTAGTAAAATTACCAGTTCCGATAGCACAAGTTGCTGCTGGAAGTAATCACACTGTTGCATTAACTACACAAGGTCAAGTTTATACTTTTGGAAGTTATCAGGTAAAAGAGACATTACAAATAAATATTGAAAATTTAATCGTACCAATATTAATTGTCAAAATTCACATGCATTTTCTTGTCGTTATTTATGACTACATTTCTCTTAGTTTTTTAAACAAATCTCTTAGATTATTCTTAATACACTGCCATCTTGAATCATTATTATTTAATTTGTAGAAAGGACAGTTAGGAAGAACCCCACCAAGTTTATCTTCAGAAGAAGGAAAAAGGGCTCGTGATAAGGAATCATTATGGCATGCAATTCCTGGAATTATTCCTAACATTGGTGCTAAACACGGTCGGAGGGCTTCATGGATCGGAGCATCTGGAGACCAGACATTTGTGAAAATTGACGAATCGCTAATTAATTCCTATAATTTAACAAAGTCGTGTGTAGTTGCAAATAAAAACTGCATTGGCAAGTAAAATCTATTATTATTAATTTTTTTTTTTGTAATATCAAAATTTAAACAGTTTAAAAAATAAGAATTAATTGATAATTATATAAAATTAATTCTGTAAGACATTGAAAATGTTTAAATTTAAAAAAAAGTTTATTATAAGTTACTTATAATTAAATATTAGATTAATAAAATTATTTAATATATTAATTACAAAGTTACTTATATACAGAATTCTTCAGTTATTAGTCTTAATGATTAAAATATTTCTTGATTTTCTACTGATTAGTACAATAATTTTTACTGATAATTCAAAGCAGTGTACTAATGAATGTGATTGAAAATATTGTATAGAAGATTGCTAAAATTCCTATATTGGACCTTATAAAATGAGGAATAGGTTGAAATAAATTAGATTTAAATTCTTGATAAACTTACTTTATCCAAATCAAATGGATGAAATATTTTGATAGAGTTGACTCATTTTAAAATTTTTTAAAAATGATTATCAATCAAAAAACGAATATGAAAATATTACTTAGAACTTTTAGAATAGTTCATCTGTCATTTGAGAAGAGATTATTTGCTTTTTAAAGATTTAAGTGTATGCAATTTGCATGTTAAAATAATCATTGCTTGATAACTAGATGGAGAATGGTGAAGGCTGTTCTAAAGATCTGGCTTAAATTTTAACTTAATTCAGAAATATTCTGGGTTAGATATGTGGGTTTATTCTTCACCACTTGGTCACTTTAACTGCAGGTCAGTTTTTGTCAAACTCACAGTGGGTAGGGAAAAAACATTCTTAGTACCTACAGGGTGGAAAGAGTTAAAATTTTTGAAAAGGTTCATTGCTTCTATGCTAAGAGTCATCTACTATGTAACTATAAGAAGTGGTGTATTAAACATTTTTATTTTATATCATAATTATTGAATTTTAATAATTAAAAAACTTTTAAAAAGTAGCAAAATAATGAATTTAAGTGATTTTTATTCTAATTATTGTTTGTTATTGTAATAGGGATTATTCCAAGTATTACTGATCAAGGATCATCGTTTAAATGTCTTATGATTAACAAATTAGATGGAAGTTGTAAAAGGTAATATATTATAACAGATTACATTAAGTTAATTATTATTTTTTAATATGTATGTATAAAATAGAAAATGAAGTATCTTAAAACAAAACAAGTTTCAAAGTAAAATTTTTAAAAGTAGAATTTGAGTTATTGTAAAACAATTAACCAGAATACAAGCTTTATCTTTTCTTAGATTTATTTATTTGTAAAAGTTTATTTGATTTCTAGCTGTAGTTTAGATTTAAAACAAAAAATCAAAATGTGTATGATTACAATGAAAGTTAAGCAACATTACATTTAATTTATGTAATATAAATTCATTATATGTGCTGCTCACTTGCCAAATTGATTAACTCCATAAAACAAAAAGTGGAGAAAAGTGACAAAATAATATACATTATTTTTTAAAATATAAATTCAAATAAACATTGTAGAATGTATTATTATAGATATAGCTTTTATTTAATGACATATGAAATGTATAAGATAGCACAGATATGCTATAATCATTACAGTAGACCCCCCCTATAATTACGGTCCCTATAATTACAATTCCTATAAAACTGCGAAAAAATTGCGACGGTATCCGTAAAAAAGGTAAAAAAACTCCTATAATTACATAAAACGTCATCGGGCAGCCGAACTACTTTCCCACCATCCGTAGCACCATGCTATGGACATTTAGGCGGCTAAATTGAATTTAGTTTCGTCTGTACATATAATTATATATAAATTATATATAAATTAGTTACTGAATATATAATTATATATTAACTTAATTTATTGTAACTTTATTATAATTATATATATTTTTTCCGCCATGTGGCGCCACGCTACGGAGATTTTACGCTAACTATCGTCTGTACAGTATGTAAATAGGTGCCATAAGTCTAATACTGTACTGTAATTTTATACATTTCTTGTGAAAGAAACATTTCTTATTCAACGGCGATTAAAATGATTTATATTAATGATGTCTCCAAAGTTCAACGAAGTTTTCGCAGAAAAATAAGTTATTAGAAATCGGCCGATGTTTGCTGAGCTGTTCCACGACAAAAACAAGCTTTAGCAATGGCGATGTCGAATGGTGCACACTCGGTAAGTAATCCTACAAATTTTTGTTTATAGCGTAGTTTATACGGATTATTCCCAAAAATAATATACGTATTTTGGAAATGTTGAGTCGGATTAGTCTAGAATCGATTAATTTTATGGAAGAAAACCTTTCAATCAGCCGTAGTCTGTAAACTTCATACGTGTCGGGCTGTGATTGGAAGGACTCGTAAGAAATCGGATTCCTAAAGAATGGAACGTATCTATGATCTTATAGGGGGGGGTCGACTGTATTATTATTACAATTTTTGTGTGATTGAGGGAGGTAATTGATTTGGCAAGTGAAAAAAGTAATAACATCATATTCAGTCTTCACATAGTTTTTTTATTATAGAGAAGCTTCATTATTGTACATTTTTTATTAAAGATTTTTTGCAAAAATGAATAAATATTTTATTACTGTTACAATGGTTGTTGTTGTTGTTTTGTTTAAATTAATTATTCAGCAACATAAATAATGTCTTCTTCATCAGCTGTATTTGAGGTCCCATCATGTCAATTTGTTATTAAATTTTTATAAGAATTATGTTTAATAAGAAGAACGAACAAATTATTTTTAGTTTCATTCATCTTGATGTAACTGTATAACTTTTCTTTTTTCTAAAAACAATTGCCATCAAAATTAAAACAATCGTTCAATAATCCACAAGTATACTTGTATGGTAGTTGGATTGTAACTAACTAATTTTTTTCACTTACTTTTTCGGAGGAGATAACATTAAATAAATTACTGTTATCTACAAGGTATTGGTTGATGCACACTGCAATTGCAATGCTGCAGTGTGCGCTAGCAGATTTATGTTACAGTATGTAGTTAATTAGATTGGCTTCTGAAATAAATAAGATTTCTTTCAATGGCCAACAAAATTGTCATTAAATGGTATTGATCCTTATTATTAGAGAAATTTATTATGAATGTAAAAAGTTATGAGTATATCAAGTGCATTGATACTAAAATTTAGAGAAGTTTGAAATGTGGATTTAATTGATTTGGCTTGCGAATGGCTCATAATATGAGCCATTTACAAGCCAAATCAATTAAATTTAGAAGCCAAATTTAGAAAATATTTTTATAAAATTTTATCAATTACTTTAAAACATTTTAAAAATTTAATATTATTATTTTATGTCTTAAGTCAAAATAAAAATTATACTATTTTTATTTGATACAAAGATTAATTTTGTGACATGTTTCCAAAACAATAGAATATAAGAAGATAACATTGAAAACAGTTAGTTATTAACAGTTAGATCTCAATATTCTTACCATTAGGGATTAACTCGTAAACAGCTTTAGATAATTATAAGCTTGCATCTAGGGCAAGCTTACAATTATTTAAAGCTGTTTAATTATTTTAATTTTTCAACCTTTCTCCACGATTTTTTTTTCAAAATTCTAGTTACAAAGTTATACAGGTTATAAATATATACTTTTGTGAGATTAATTAGTTTTTTCTTGTACTGTTAATAACAAATTTTATTCTGTGTTGTTTCTTTGTTTCTCTAATATTTTTATCTTGGGCTTATTGTTGTGGAGGGGGAGAGATTTGTTTTTGATCCTTCTTGGACTGTATCTATCTATCTAGTTATTGTAAAATAAGCAATTTGTTTAAGGTATACAATAAATCATATTAAAGTACATAAACAATAAAATATAAAAATATAGAATGAAAGTGTACTAAAATTGAAGACTTTATCCACTTAAGATTTAAAGTTAGTCACTTAGAGTTAATTCAAGAAGACTGTGCTTCATAAATATGAACTTCCTGAAACCTGATGTATTGATGCTAAGCCATATTAATTAGCCATAATTAATTGGGTTATTAATATGCTATAATTACAAATATTTATATAATTATAAAAATAGTAATTATAAATTTTACACTATTATTACTTTATTTTAGATAAGATAATTTACTAAAATATTAATATAATTTCTAGAATATATTTTATTACTTCTCTAAAAATAAACTTAATATAACATTTTTGAAATGAAATGAAAATGAGAATGTTTTTACGATTACAGAGTCACTTTTTCAAATGTTGTTGTTATTTTAAAATAAACTGAGTTTTATAATAAACCTATTTATTCATTTTATATTAATAACACAGTAGAGCATCGTTTATCCAAATCAATTGGGGACTGGGGTTGTTCAGATAACTTATTTTTCGGATAATCGATTATGTATGAAAAAATATATTAACCTATCCCATGTTGAAATTTTTCTCTGTTGCGTGTCGCTTTACGTTGAATTTTCATCGATTTTAAGCCTAACGTAAACTTTTTAAAATAATAATTGTGTCTATTGTATCATTAAAAATTATTTCTTTATTTTTTACAAATGAAATAAATATATTGAAAAATATAAAAACCAAAAAATATATATTTTAGAAGTTGTTCTAGTATCAAAAATGTTCGATTCAGCACCACACACAGTCCTCAGAAAAACACCACACAAAAATGCCAGGGCGGCCAGCTAAAACACACACCAACAAAAAATATATTGGAGTAGCCAAAGATTGCAGCGCCACAGCACTAGCAAAAATTTAAATTTGCCGACTGAAATTCTTTAGGTTAACCGACGTTTTGGATAACTGGCTTTCAGATAAACGATGCTCTACTGTAATCGTTTTTTTTTTTTTTACTTCATTTTAATATTATTTAAAATAAAATTTAAACAATAGTTAAAACCATTTTATGCTTTAATCATCAAGTGATAAGGCCAGATTAATTATAAGACTAGAATTTAGCTAATTAATAGATAATTCAGACTAAATTAGGCAGTTAAGTTTCCATTTTGTACTAAATTCAATAATTATATTTTTTATAATTAATATAATTAGCCAAGTTTTATCTCAGTAGTTAATCCAACTATATCATTTGATAATTGCACAGTAAATCCTCATTTAATTAAGGCATGACTATATTATGTGTGTTCATATACAAATTGTTCATGTACAAATTGACTGAATGTCAATTTGTACATGAACAAATACAACTGTATACAATATATACAATTGTCTTTGAATATAATAATAATAATTGTAATCTTAATTTTAGAAAAATTATAATAATGTTTATCTGTAGGCTCATGTTTTTGATAACTTTTGAAAATAATAAAAATTATCAATACATAATAAAAACATTTTGTTCATTTGTGATTAATTCCACTTAAAGTTTGTGTTTTTTTTAAAAAAAATCTCTCATATTTCTTTTCAGTTTTAATTCGGCAGATCAGTTGGAACTAAGAGATTGTGCAATCTGTCTGGATAGTGTTTACAATGTTTTGTGGAGGTATCTTTTATATATTTTAAAAAATTACACTATTTACTATATTTTCTTTTTATTATAATTTATAGTTTATATTTATGGGGTTCTTAGCGTAATTCTACTATAAACATGAAATTTTTGTAAATATCTGATTATCTCCCATAATATACACATCCCAGGATCTGATTTTTTTGACTTCGGTGGCTTCAATAGGTCTCAAAACATTAAGATCCAGAAATTTGGAGGGTCAGATGTGACACGGTTGCAATATTATAACAGCTGGTAAAGTAAAAATGCCCACAAATAAAAAAGGATGAGAGTATAATATGTTAATTATTATACACCAACTTGTATTTTAAATTATTGGTTAAACATTATTATTACTTTTAGAATAGAAAAAAAAAGCCATTGTTTTGCTGGTATGTTTCTGTAATAACAAAATGAAATTAATAATTTAAAAAAAATTAAATTTCTGTTAAAGTTTATCACATTTATCTAAGGGCATAATTTTAGTACAGTTTGATTTATACGTATAGATTTATATAAAAGTTAAAAAACAAAAGTATAAAATTATTTATAACAGGTTACATTAAAATTAAATTTTGAATATTTCTATTTATTGATTTATGAATTGTAAATTTTTATTATTATAAATTCAAAACTAAATTTCTTAGAATTTTCAATGAACTTGGGATTGAATTCTGATCATTCTCTATTATTTTTCAGAAAAAATGTTATAGAAATCTGAAAAATGCTAAAATTATCATAACATTTTCAAGAAATTCTATTTCTGTTTTCAGAATTTAAAAAAAAAAAACATAACATGACAAAATAAATACATAAGAATTTAATGAACAGCATAAGTGAATATACTGTACAAGCAATAAACTAACTGAAACATTTAAAGAATTATATAACCTTTGAGGTTTTTAAACAATTACATTTAAGAGCGGTTAAGTTTTAAGCCATCTAAAAAGATATTTAAATTAAATGAAATTTCATGAATTTTTATTTGACATAACTGACATTCAATGTAGACTGTTTAAAGTGAATTAAAAATTAAAATTATCTCTGAAAATGAATCAAAAAAATAATAAGAGAATAATATTTACTTGAAACATTGACGACGATGATGATGATGACAACATGGGCATCCACAGAAAATTTTCCAGTGAGAAGGTTTGGGTTTTTACATGAAGATTATGGAATATAGTAATGCTTGCATACCATGATTGAGGGTGTAAGGTTACATAGTTACATATCTCAATCACTTTTATGATTATAATTTGTGGAATTTTTTACTTGATCTCTATTGACCCATTTCTCCCTCTGACCCATGTCTCCATCTACTTGATCATTTCACCCTCTGCAGATGCTTACGGATGTTGATAATGATATACATAGGCAGGATTTTTGTCAACCTCTGATGATTCATAAAACAAAAACAAGTGTAAATGACAAAATGAATTTATTACCAAAAGTTAGGTACAAACATAGTTACTTTTCAAGATAGTCACCATGAAGATTGAGGCATTTGTCATATTTGTGGATAAGCTTTGCAATCATCTCTTCATAAAATGTTGCTGAAAGAGGTGGAAGTCACCCAGTGCTAAATCGGGGTTATATGCTGGGTGTTTAAAAAGTTCCAAGCTGGGTGGAAATTTGAAAGGTGGAAGTCTTCACACCTTTAATATGTAAAGACTTCCACCTCTTTTCTGAACTGAAAATGTGGCTAGGAGGGCAGAGGTTCAAGACTAATGAGGATCTTCAAAACAACATTAAGGCCCATCTCAAGTCACTGGCAGCAACATTTTATGAAGAGAGGATTGCAAAGCTCATCCATAGATATGACAAATGCCTCAATCTTCACAGTGATTATGCCAAAAAGTAACTATGTTTGTATCTAACTTTTGGTAATAAATTCATTTTGTTATTTACACTTGTCTTTGTTTTATAGACATCAAAGGCTGAAAAAAACTGCACTCATAGATGATATAACATTCAGTAAGGAAGTTTTTCAAATTTAAATTCAATTCAACTTGATTTTCTCAGAGCAAAGCAGTTAGAATTGAATATTAGTAATTTTTTAATAGTTTATTTTCTAAATTTTGTAGGTATGATCTTTACTTTGTAATTTTAGCTATTAATTAAATAAAATTTACTTTTATATTCATTAAAATTTTTAAAATATGGATATTGTTCTAATATTATAATTATTATAATTTTTCACAGCTTTAATCCTCTCACTCAAAGAATATGTCAATATAACATCATTGCAACGGAAGCTCGTGTCTTGCCAAGTTCTTTTTCATCAAATTTAGCAAATTCAAATATATCCACTTCTAATGTCAAGAAAAATATACATCCTCTTCCAAATATTCTCAGTTCAGAGTTATCTTTACCTTCACAAGCGGGTTGTCCTGTTAGTAGATCTCATGCAGCTTTACATTTATTATGTTGCTTGGATACTCTTACTGCTGCTCAGGAACAAAACTGGATCATTCATAGCGATGAGAAAGGAAAACAAAGTACAAATAAAGTATATAGTAAAGACGATTTTTCTGTTGTAAATAGATTTGAAAGTAAGTTGAAAAGTCAAATTGTTTTAGTATAAAGTTTGAATCTATGAATTACTTTAGAAAAAAACCAATGATTAAAGACTTTCTTTAATTAAGCTTGCTAAGATTAAAACTGAACATGCTGTTATACTAGTTTATAGAAGTCAAATGACTATTATTAAATAATTTTTTACTTTCTGTAAAGTTATAATACAAAAATATTCTTTAAATAAAGATGGAGAAGTATAACTAAGTTATTTAGAAACACAATAAAATGTTTAATTTTACAATAAACTGTTGGAAGAATTTCACAATAAGAATGTAACTGGCATCAAATTTTCTGTAATTTAAGAGCTTGCACTGTATAAAACATTTTGTAATGAAGCAATAATTAATATCAAAAAATAATAGGAAGCTTCATTTTAAATGTTGTTTTTGTCTTGACTAAAAGGCAGAAAAAGATGTGGACATCATAGAAGAACGTTAATATGTTTTCAGGGGCAGTTCCAAGAAGGTTTAAAGAGCTTAAACTATATCTATTGTCACAAAAATAATAAAAATTAATTTGTTTGAGCTTCAAAATAATGTTTTTAAAAACACTTATGATGGCAAATATGGTTTTTCAACCTAAAGTTATTAATCATGCGTTAATAAAATGTTCTCAATAATAATTCAGATATTTTAAATTTTGAGTTCATTTGGATTTGCTTACAGTGTGTCTTCAGTTTTAGACAGGACAAATATTTTTTCATTTTATTTACATTTTTATTAAAGTATTTTAATAAGTTTTAATGTATTTTCAATGAAAAAACTAGCATTTTCTACATAAATATTACAGTTATATAGTAAAAAAATAATTCAAAGATTATTAAAGTATAAAATTAAAGAAATGAAATTCAATAATGATACAGGTTCAATAAAAAATTAAAGATTTTTATTAAATGTTAATATTATTTCATAAATTTTTAATAAAGTGTTAATAGAAAGCTATTATATAATACATATAATTATAAAAATATGTTTGTAAATTATTATTTTTAAATATAATTAAATTAAATATTGTGTATCTTTAAAGTAAAGAATTGCGAAATTTACTATTAAAAGTTAAATATAAAATTTTGTTAAACATTTAAGAGTCAGAATATTCTTTATTAAAATAAAGTATATTCTGACTGAAGATTACTGCCTTCCAACTAAACAAAATTCCTAGTTAAAATACAAGCAAACATTAATCCAAAAAAAAAAAAGTGTAAAAAATATAAAATATGAAAAATATATAAAAATTATAATGTATAAAACTCAAAAAACAAAATGTACAATGTGTAAAATATGTAGAACATAAAAATTAAATTAAAATTTAAAAAAGAGCTAGATTAAAAACTGTAAGGTAGACATCTGCATTTGTATTTAAAACATTTAAAATCTCAAAATAAATTGCTTTCTACAGGGTGAAAATTTTAAATTCTTCTGTAAAGGAAGGTCGTTCTTGAAATAGTAAGATGAAAGTTGGAGATGGGTAAACAAGAAGTATTACTATTTAATTTAACAGTGGTACAGTGTGTATAGTAGATAAAGACGCTACTATCAAAAATTATTTATTATTATTAAGTTTTAGTACAGTTCAAAAGTTATTTTAACAATTTATTTATTAAATTAAATTAATTTTGGTTTAATATAATCATAAATTAGATTGAGAAAGTCAAATTATTAGTCCTTAATTATCAAATTATTTATTTGTATTGCATTATAAAATAAAATATTTTGAATATAATAATGACATCACAATTCAAATACAAGTTTGTATATTCTTTCATGTTTCATTAAGTTTTTAACTTGAAATTTATATTTTTATAAAATAACATAAGCCAATTACATTAATAATAATAATAATAATAGTTACAATGATTATTATTCAGGTCACGGTGGAGGATGGGGATATTCTGGTCATTCAATCGAAGCGATTCGTTTTATGGCCGATACTGATATTCTGTTGGGAGGATTTGGATTATTTGGAGGAAGAGGTGAATATACTGCAAAATTAAAGGTAATTATAGTTTGGGATGTTTATATAATTAATGTTCATTATTGTTTTAAAATAATGGCAATATTTTATTATTTTTATATCAAAGTCTTCAAAAACAAATAGGAATATCTTTAATTAAAGTTAGATTAAACTGTTTTTGAATTTAATTAAAGGATTTTTTAATTTTGTTTTTGAGAATTTCTGTATATAAAAATATTCCAAAACATATTTTGATAGCAAATACAGTAAATTCATTTATTTTATGATAGAGAATAGATTCAGAAATCAAAATTAATATAAAGAAGTTTGCTACTTCAAAAATTTTTATTATAGATTTGTTTACAACATAGGAATGGGCTGGCCATGTGGAATTTTCTGGTGTTTATTAATTAACATATCTAACAACTAAATAGGGGCCAGTTTCCTATTGAAAGTCCTCCCCTTGGCAGATTGCCTACGTGTTGCATTGCCATATCCCATCAAATAAAATTAAAAACATTTAACACTAGTATAATGGGCTAACCAAATGGATTTTACTGGGTTTTCTTCATGTTTTAAAACTTAAATAGCCAGTTTCCCATAGAAAGACTTCTCAAAAGTATTCCCCTTGGCAAACTGCCTGTATGTTGCATTGCCTTTTTTTGTCAATTTTACAATACTACTATTTGTAAAATCAGTTGGGATTTAATTATAACTCAGTTATTGATTAATAAACTGTTTTATTAACATTAAGATTAATTTTAACTCCTTAAGGACATTGACATTTTTTATATAGATTTCAATTAAACGTAAAAAATACTTAAAACAGAAAAAAAACGAAAGAAATGCGTTTATTTTGAAGAAAAAGCTTTAAATTTTATTTTCCTTTGTTTCGCCTGTCTGTGAAATGTAACACCGATGAGTCATTGTTTACACAGCTGGGTGACCTTGAACACAGCTGGAGTCGGATTTCCCGGGACNAGTCACTGGCAGCAACATTTTATGAAGAGAGGATTGCAAAGCTCATCCATAGATATGACAAATGCCTCAATCTTCACAGTGATTATGCCAAAAAGTAACTATGTTTGTATCTAACTTTTGGTAATAAATTCATTTTGTTATTTACACTTGTCTTTGTTTTATAGACATCAAAGGCTGAAAAAAACTGCACTCATAGATGATATAACATTCAGTAAGGAAGTTTTTCAAATTTAAATTCAATTCAACTTGATTTTCTCAGAGCAAAGCAGTTAGAATTGAATATTAGTAATTTTTTAATAGTTTATTTTCTAAATTTTGTAGGTATGATCTTTACTTTGTAATTTTAGCTATTAATTAAATAAAATTTACTTTTATATTCATTAAAATTTTTAAAATATGGATATTGTTCTAATATTATAATTATTATAATTTTTCACAGCTTTAATCCTCTCACTCAAAGAATATGTCAATATAACATCATTGCAACGGAAGCTCGTGTCTTGCCAAGTTCTTTTTCATCAAATTTAGCAAATTCAAATATATCCACTTCTAATGTCAAGAAAAATATACATCCTCTTCCAAATATTCTCAGTTCAGAGTTATCTTTACCTTCACAAGCGGGTTGTCCTGTTAGTAGATCTCATGCAGCTTTACATTTATTATGTTGCTTGGATACTCTTACTGCTGCTCAGGAACAAAACTGGATCATTCATAGCGATGAGAAAGGAAAACAAAGTACAAATAAAGTATATAGTAAAGACGATTTTTCTGTTGTAAATAGATTTGAAAGTAAGTTGAAAAGTCAAATTGTTTTAGTATAAAGTTTGAATCTATGAATTACTTTAGAAAAAAACCAATGATTAAAGACTTTCTTTAATTAAGCTTGCTAAGATTAAAACTGAACATGCTGTTATACTAGTTTATAGAAGTCAAATGACTATTATTAAATAATTTTTTACTTTCTGTAAAGTTATAATACAAAAATATTCTTTAAATAAAGATGGAGAAGTATAACTAAGTTATTTAGAAACACAATAAAATGTTTAATTTTACAATAAACTGTTGGAAGAATTTCACAATAAGAATGTAACTGGCATCAAATTTTCTGTAATTTAAGAGCTTGCACTGTATAAAACATTTTGTAATGAAGCAATAATTAATATCAAAAAATAATAGGAAGCTTCATTTTAAATGTTGTTTTTGTCTTGACTAAAAGGCAGAAAAAGATGTGGACATCATAGAAGAACGTTAATATGTTTTCAGGGGCAGTTCCAAGAAGGTTTAAAGAGCTTAAACTATATCTATTGTCACAAAAATAATAAAAATTAATTTGTTTGAGCTTCAAAATAATGTTTTTAAAAACACTTATGATGGCAAATATGGTTTTTCAACCTAAAGTTATTAATCATGCGTTAATAAAATGTTCTCAATAATAATTCAGATATTTTAAATTTTGAGTTCATTTGGATTTGCTTACAGTGTGTCTTCAGTTTTAGACAGGACAAATATTTTTTCATTTTATTTACATTTTTATTAAAGTATTTTAATAAGTTTTAATGTATTTTCAATGAAAAAACTAGCATTTTCTACATAAATATTACAGTTATATAGTAAAAAAATAATTCAAAGATTATTAAAGTATAAAATTAAAGAAATGAAATTCAATAATGATACAGGTTCAATAAAAAATTAAAGATTTTTATTAAATGTTAATATTATTTCATAAATTTTTAATAAAGTGTTAATAGAAAGCTATTATATAATACATATAATTATAAAAATATGTTTGTAAATTATTATTTTTAAATATAATTAAATTAAATATTGTGTATCTTTAAAGTAAAGAATTGCGAAATTTACTATTAAAAGTTAAATATAAAATTTTGTTAAACATTTAAGAGTCAGAATATTCTTTATTAAAATAAAGTATATTCTGACTGAAGATTACTGCCTTCCAACTAAACAAAATTCCTAGTTAAAATACAAGCAAACATTAATCCAAAAAAAAAAAGTGTAAAAAATATAAAATATGAAAAATATATAAAAATTATAATGTATAAAACTCAAAAAACAAAATGTACAATGTGTAAAATATGTAGAACATAAAAATTAAATTAAAATTTAAAAAAGAGCTAGATTAAAAACTGTAAGGTAGACATCTGCATTTGTATTTAAAACATTTAAAATCTCAAAATAAATTGCTTTCTACAGGGTGAAAATTTTAAATTCTTCTGTAAAGGAAGGTCGTTCTTGAAATAGTAAGATGAAAGTTGGAGATGGGTAAACAAGAAGTATTACTATTTAATTTAACAGTGGTACAGTGTGTATAGTAGATAAAGACGCTACTATCAAAAATTATTTATTATTATTAAGTTTTAGTACAGTTCAAAAGTTATTTTAACAATTTATTTATTAAATTAAATTAATTTTGGTTTAATATAATCATAAATTAGATTGAGAAAGTCAAATTATTAGTCCTTAATTATCAAATTATTTATTTGTATTGCATTATAAAATAAAATATTTTGAATATAATAATGACATCACAATTCAAATACAAGTTTGTATATTCTTTCATGTTTCATTAAGTTTTTAACTTGAAATTTATATTTTTATAAAATAACATAAGCCAATTACATTAATAATAATAATAATAATAGTTACAATGATTATTATTCAGGTCACGGTGGAGGATGGGGATATTCTGGTCATTCAATCGAAGCGATTCGTTTTATGGCCGATACTGATATTCTGTTGGGAGGATTTGGATTATTTGGAGGAAGAGGTGAATATACTGCAAAATTAAAGGTAATTATAGTTTGGGATGTTTATATAATTAATGTTCATTATTGTTTTAAAATAATGGCAATATTTTATTATTTTTATATCAAAGTCTTCAAAAACAAATAGGAATATCTTTAATTAAAGTTAGATTAAACTGTTTTTGAATTTAATTAAAGGATTTTTTAATTTTGTTTTTGAGAATTTCTGTATATAAAAATATTCCAAAACATATTTTGATAGCAAATACAGTAAATTCATTTATTTTATGATAGAGAATAGATTCAGAAATCAAAATTAATATAAAGAAGTTTGCTACTTCAAAAATTTTTATTATAGATTTGTTTACAACATAGGAATGGGCTGGCCATGTGGAATTTTCTGGTGTTTATTAATTAACATATCTAACAACTAAATAGGGGCCAGTTTCCTATTGAAAGTCCTCCCCTTGGCAGATTGCCTACGTGTTGCATTGCCATATCCCATCAAATAAAATTAAAAACATTTAACACTAGTATAATGGGCTAACCAAATGGATTTTACTGGGTTTTCTTCATGTTTTAAAACTTAAATAGCCAGTTTCCCATAGAAAGACTTCTCAAAAGTATTCCCCTTGGCAAACTGCCTGTATGTTGCATTGCCTTTTTTTGTCAATTTTACAATACTACTATTTGTAAAATCAGTTGGGATTTAATTATAACTCAGTTATTGATTAATAAACTGTTTTATTAACATTAAGATTAATTTTAACTCCTTAAGGACATTGACATTTTTTATATAGATTTCAATTAAACGTAAAAAATACTTAAAACAGAAAAAAAACGAAAGAAATGCGTTTATTTTGAAGAAAAAGCTTTAAATTTTATTTTCCTTTGTTTCGCCTGTCTGTGAAATGTAACACCGATGAGTCATTGTTTACACAGCTGGGTGACCTTGAACACAGCTGGAGTCCGATTTCCCGGGACATTCTCATAGACGTCTCGGGAGGACAAGGGTTTAAAGTAGGGTGACTATAAGCGACACAGAAATTTTTAAATATTTTTAAAAAATTCAAAATTTTATTGCGATTTCCGACCCCCCCTAATTAATTAATTATATATTTATAAAAATATATTAATTAAAAAAATTAAAAAACCATCGGAGGTCGTTTTTGACATCAGAAACTAACTTTAAATAACTTTACTGAATGAAAATCCGTGCGCTACAACTTAAAAACCATGAAATAATTTTGATAAAAAACTCCCATTAAAAAACAATTAAGCCTTAATCGAGCCTTCACATAGGCTCATTAAAATCGCGATAAAATTTTTTTGCGCGGGAAAAAAATTTTGAAAAAATTTCGGGACCTAAAAAACATTCCAAAAATTCAAAAAAAAAAAAATTTTCAAAAATGGCCTTAAGGACCTCATTTTATGTAACGTTATGTAACTTGCCCGAGATATCTCGGGTTATGGGCTTAAGGGGTTAAATGTGAAATCCGGAATTTTTACAGAATTTTCCGATTAATATCCCGCAGTTTCCTAAACCCCCAATTAAGTTCTCTTTTAAACCCTAAACGAAAATCTAACGTAAAAAAGGGAAAAATTCCAATCTCCCCTTTCGTTCAAAGTAAACATCCGTCCATTTCGAAACTAATCCCACATTCCAACTTCAAAGTTGATAGTTAGCATGGGCCCGGGGACAACTTTGACCCATCTGCGTACCTTTTACCTCACAACAATTGGTCACATGACCACTCTCCCACGACAAAACTATAAATGCCACTTGCTTCCCTCTCTCGGGGGAGTCGTTCATCTGCCGTCACTTTAATACTGTGTCCTACGAATATTATATCCTACAAATAATTGTCCTAAGAATCTTATATCCTACAAATCCTACGTGATCCTTCAAATATTACGTCTAATTGTATTTTTCTCAACGAGAAACATAAATTTTTTCCTCAAAGGATTATCATCAGAAAGACGTATGGAACAAATTTTTGTGAACTCTCTCTTGGCCCTTCGCGTTTTAGGGACTCAGATTTTTCCCTTGAAATTAGTTATTGTAGTATCTATGTAGCTAATAAATCATTGTTATCTTGTTAAATTGGTGTCCTTTTTTACTCATATATCGCCTGTCATCTTACCAATGGCACTCCTCCCTTCACCACTCGACCTGAAACATTAAATCCCGTTACAGTGGGAAAAAGGGATAAATTTTAATCCATCCTGACAGTGAGAAGGTTTTAACAACCTGTCACCGGAAAGGGAGACCTCCAACCTCCCCAGCGGTTCACATTAATGATATATTATGGATATTGTAAATATTTTTTCGTATGATAAAAGTTTTTGAATAATCAAAATCATTATTGTTTAAATAAAAATATACAGTAATATCAGTTGTTCACAAATTTCAGAATTACATGTGTCTGGAAACCAAAATTATTTATTATCAAACATTTTTAATCTCAAGAATTTCTTTCAAATAGTCAAATTTGTTTCTACATACTTCTCTTATTAATATCTTTAGTAATTTCTTACTTAACTTATTAATTTCTTTAATATTTTAAACAATAGACCAAAGATAATCTAGAATATATATTAAAATAAATAAAACAATTGTTATTTTATTTGATTGTTATTTTAATAGATAAATTTTTATAACATGAGCAACTAAACTATTTATAATATGAAAATATTAAGTTGATGCTTTAATTTTATTAATGGTATTTATTGTTTTTTTTTTTTTTTTTTTTTAACNTAAGTTATTTGACATTGGAATTGAAGGAGGTGATCAAGAAACTGATGGTGAGTTATTAGCAGAAACAGAAGAAATTCCTTATGAATGCGGAGCAAGGTATAGTTATTAAATATTATTTTTTATTGAATGCCACCTACTGTTAAAGTTCATTTAAATCTTTTTGATCCATGATAAAAATTTTAACAGAATCTTATTAATATTTTTAGTTTATTCATTTTTTAAATAAAATATTAGTTGTTTTACTATTTTAGACTTCCTACATTATTTTACTTTTTAATATGTTTATGGCAAAAATAATTTGTTATTAACATGTAAAGTGTGGTCGTAATTAACATTTCTCTATTTGGGGCACTCTGTAGCTGTAACTAATAGGAGGATTGACACCAAAATTTGTATACAGACTATGCACAGGTGCGGAAAAAGATTTTGCATAAAAAAGTTTAGTTCTAAAACATCTGCTAGGATAGGCATGGCCAACATACGGCCCGTCTAATGAATTTATGTGGCTTGTGATTAATCTTTCAACATTATCTACTGAAGTCCAAATAGCTTGATGAAAAATTCTGATGCCTAAGAATAAAAAACGGTCAACAACAACTCACTCTGCATTTAGAGTTAATCCTCCATTACAAGTCTCTTAAGTACAGTGTAGAATGTTGATAAAGCATGATAATGTGAAAAATGTATCTGTAATCTCTATGTACAATTTAGTCTCTACAGGGTGACACCACAATGAGATCTCACACCATCTCAAAATCTTCCTAGGGTAGCCTCTGGTTTGGCCCATGAAAAAAGTTTCTTTCCAATTTGGGCAAAAACTGTTGGCCACCCCTGTGCTAGGAGGTGTTTTGGCATATATGGTTTATCATAGAAATTTTGCAACTTTGGCTTACTTAAAGGATTATATTACACTGCAAGTGCAAAACATCAGTGGATAGTAGTTGCAGTCAGCTGTAGAACATACTGTTAATCGCCTTCAAATTTTACACATGAATAATGGCACACACTGAGCAACATTTGTTGTATCAGTAAGTAGCCTCTGAAGAATGAATTAATGCATTTTCATTGTGTTTTTGTTGTTTTGTTTTGTTTATTTTTCTGTAAATTGTCCTCTAGCAGAAATAAATTTTGTTTTTCAGAATCCTTTTTTGTATTATTTTCACAGTCTGTTTACAAATTTTGGTGTCAGTCAGCTTATTGGTTACAGCTACAGAGTGTTTTGAATAGGGTAACTTTAATTATGGCCACTGTATATCTTAGACAGCTGGATGCCTGAGATCTCTGTGGTGTCGCCTACCACTGGGAGTCCTGGCATAGAATTCAAGCAGCATAAATTCCTGGAATAAAAACTCCAGAATTTTTTATGTACAGTCCATTCCAAATATTGGGTCCCATCTCTTGCCATCCAGTTTTCCCCAATATGGGTTTGGCTGAACTTACAATGGATATTCTTAGTGTCCACAAGGCAGAAAGAGTAGTGATACACATAATTGTTATGAGTTATTAAATGACTACTGTTACAAATTGCTTTAATTCTACATGAAATTAAAATGTTAAAAAATTTTTCTAAACAAAAAAATTTCTTAATGTCATATATTAAAATATTGCTATGATATGAATTATTTATTTAATAATTCTGTTATTTTTCTTCAGTAGGTTTTTTAAGCAGTATTTTCATTAATGTTGTACAGCCTGCTTCAAAAGTCACATTATTCTAAATTTAAACACATACTGTATACTTACAGGGCGTGTTTAAATTTAGAATAATGTGACTTTTGAAGCAGAGACTTGTAATGACATTAAATATATTTATATATATGGCATTGCATGTGAGATTTGTACATGTAATAGGCCAACTTACAGGTCTTGTATGCAATATTTGTATGCAATATTTTACATATAATTTCAATGTCATCACAAATTTCTCACTGTACAGTGACTTTTTGGACATCCTGTCATAGATTGGAAAGGTTTTTGGTCCTTTTTGATTCTATGGTTCTGTTAGATGTTTTTATTTTTAGCTTATTTACATTATCAAACTTTATTTTGCATCACCATTGTATAGACGAGTACAAGAACAGTTCCAAAAAAATCTATTTTGATGTTTATCTAAGTAAATTTCAAGTGTTTTTATTTGTTTTTATATATCATAAATATACATTATTTATTATTTGGGTAAAAAGACTTTTGAATTAACATATAGTTTTATGTATGTATATAATATATATGATGATTAATATTTCAGACAAAAGTTTCCAATGTTGTTTGATGAGCCAGTATCTATTCAAGCCAACCGATGGTATGTGGCTTGGTCTAGGATATCTGGTCCGAGCAGTGATTGTGGATCGAGTGGTCAATCTGTTGTAACAACTGAAGATCANATCTTATATATAGTTTTATTTCTTGATGTTTCTTTATTGCTGAAAATGAAAACAATATGTATTGTAAAGAGTTTGTATAATTACATTGTATATAACTAAGAATAGCAACAATTTGTTGCAATATCCTTTAATACTTCTTACTAATATTTTGCAATAATTACTTTTATAATATGCAAAAAAGAGCTTATCTGTTATTCTTCCAGCATTAAGAAGGACCTTTAATATGAGTAATAAGAGATTTTTAATATAGTTAGAACAACCATATTAGAGTGTAATGACCTTGAAGATTTTTGAGGGTCTCATTTAGACTTGAACCTGGCCTCCTAGAGTTATAGATTAATGCATTTTACTTTCTTTGTCATTTGTAGTTTGTTGATAGCTTTTTGAGAAATTACTAAAATGTTATGTTTTTCATTAAAATTTATGGTACTTTCTACTACAATTTTCAAAAATTTGAAGAAAGATCTTTATAAGAATAAAAGCAATAACAGTATGTTAAAATCAACTACCAAGTACTGTACTGTAATGGTTAGTGTAATGGTTTGTAATTTGTCTGAGGCCACAGACATAATTTGTATACACACAATGATTTAGACAGCTAAATTGTGATTGCAGACTTTTTCATTAAACATTTGCAGAAATCTTCCAAAGAATAACCTCTACTAAGACTAATAACTTAAGTTTCACCTTATGTAATCTGTTTTAATCAGGAGACAAAGATTAATTCAAAACACTTTAATAATACTTGTTATAACAGCAATGCAATTTTGGGATTGAAAAAATCATTCCCTTTTCTGGCTATAATGTATATAGCTGACATTAATAATTAAATATAAAAGCAAAAATTAAGATATAAAACACTGACACGAAACAATTTAAAATCCACTTTTTACAAAACACAGTTAACATTTTCCTGTGAGCCGATAAGTGCTTTTTATACGTTCCGTCCCAAGATATTTTCCACATAAACACGAAAAAACCAAAAAATTCTGTTTTATAATTCTTCTGTTACCAAATTTTTTTACACATACCATCAGTTTTTCCAACATGGGAGGATGTTAGAAAAACTGGTGGTAGGTGATAGATTGGGCTATTTTCCAGACCTTATAATTTTAATTATAATTACCAGAGAATATACTTTTAATTATAATCACGGAAAATAGCTTGATCTTAAAGGGCAGTTGGTTTGGCTTCATACTAATGACTCAGATATTGAGAGATGTTTATATATAGCAATAGATGTTTACAATATTTGCAAAACTGAAATAATAATACATTCAAATAAGACATAAATAAATTGCACCAAACAAAAATTTAAATGATATTTGTATTTAATTAATTTGATTATATCATATGATATAGATATGATAGGATATGTAAGGATGGATCAATAAATAATCAGCTGGGACAACCAGCAGTGGTATTGCTTTTGGCTGGTTATTTATTAATCTATCCTTATAAATTGTTTCCATCTATTTAACCAAATTTAGAATTGAATTGATTAAAGTCAACCAAATGGTTGCATAGTACCTACTGCTTGAGGGATTTGATTTTGAATTTCATTTAGAGGCAATGTTGGCTCTGGATGAGTTCAATATGTAACAGAAACAGGTAGCACCTTGCTGGTGCTACCTGTTTCTGTTATGGATTGAGCTTTGTAAGCTAAGGCATTAAGGTTATACAGCTGACCTTAACAGATAGCGTTACAGTTGGCGATATAGACATAATGTACTGATATAGACATAATGTACTGATATTTTGTATTTATAAATCAAATGCAATTTTTAGCTAATCAGAATGAATTAGTTGTAAAAATTATATTTTAATGAAACTTTTTTATATAGTTATATACAAATGGTCTTCTATAATCTTGGAGTTGATATCACTATAAACATTATCACTTTTTAATTTAAAAAAATATGTATAAAGAAAATATAATGTATAAATTTAAATTAATATAATTATTTATATTAAAAAGTTTACTTTAAATCAATGAAATAATTCAATATTTTTTTTTGTAGAGTTGTTTTTTATTTTAAAAGTTCAAAGAGATCAAATAATGGTACTGATGTTAATGCTGGTCAAATCCCTCAATTATTGTACAGGTTAGTTTATTTTTATTATTATTAAATTATTACTGTAATTATATTAAATAATTTTAGGTTTATTTTATGTATGGATTGTCTGATTTTTTAATTTATCAGAGAATAAATATTTGATTTGAAATATTAATTGTTTTCATATTAAAAATTTGATGTTATCAAAAGTTTATTTTGCTGTTCTATTATAATGAATCCTATAATATATTAGTAACATAAAAATAATTGATCCATATTAAGTAGTTAAAACCAATAATTTAAGGCAGAATTTTAGTTTTTTATTATGGATATTTTATTAAAATTATTCTTTAATAAACTGTTATCAGATATAAAATTTTAGCTCAATTTATTAGTTTTAACATGTAAAATTGGTTAGTTTGTCTTTCTACACACCCCATTTTCTTGATTCTAAGAGTTACTTTTTCCCCCATTTTTACTTGTCTGAAACAGAGATGCATCATAGATTCAATGGCATCTTACATTAGCAAGCTGAAAACAGTCAGAAGGCATAATGAATACACCATGTGATGTGTAATTGTATTAATAATAGATATTTTTGCCTATATGCAATGGTTACATTACAATCACACTGCAATGCATATAGCAATTGCCAACCTATTTGCCAAACATTTTTTGTTCACCATGTTATTTTTTTGGTTAATGTGACTTTTTGCACCAACTTGGAATGAAAAGCCTACCAACAATACAAAAAATGCAGTTTTTCTATGACTGAGTTTCTCAGACAACTTTAGTTTTGTTTACTAACAGTAAAGTTATATCAGACCAAGACAGATTCATGTTCTGCCATACTCTTTCATGAAGTGACTTTTTTTTCTGGACTGCTCTGGCTATTCGCCAATCCAATTGCCAGATGATAAAAGCAATCGCCAGATGAATATAATTTTCACAAATTGCAAATTTTGTGACAGGCAGCGTGACCACTGCATTAGTTCAAATAAACTTTATTGATAATGAGTGGTGAATTTAAACTTCTTTTTAATGTTTAAAATAACTTTATAATTTTTGTTTTGAATTATAATAATTATAAACCCTATGTTTATAGGGTCTTCCAAAAAGAATGCTACCATTTTAAATTATCATAATTATGTTAATTATTGTTTGAGGACATTGTAATATACATTAAAACATTGAAAAACTGTCTTTTATATTTGTCCATTAAGTTCCTCATTGTGTGCACTTTGTGCCACATGGCGTACATTTAACCAATACTCAAATTCTTCCCACATTCACTACAGCATATCCATTGTTCCTCCTCCTACAGCAGCCGTAATTTTACAGCTCCTGCAGATTACTTGCATTGTACAATAACAAGTGATTTCAACTTTGCAAACTGTAAAATACAAAAGCTTCTTCTCTGTTGTGGAGCCACCATTTTTGTTTATGGCACTTCCCAGACATAGTAGATGACAAGATGTTTGAATGCAGATGGGAAATGAAAATTTGATAGTTACTCTTTTGATTGATGTATTTTGCTTACATCTCAGATGATAATTAACATAATTACAGTAATTTAAAATGGTAGCATTAATTTTAGATGACCCTGTATTTAGCTGAATTTCTTGTACTTACTACAAGATTTTTTAAAATTTGAAATTGTACTGATTATTTAAGTATAGTGTGGCAGAAAACAATACAATAAATATTACTAATGATTAATTAGTAAAATCTGTGAATTAAATCTTATATATAGTTTTATTTCTTGATGTTTCTTTATTGCTGAAAATGAAAACAATATGTATTGTAAAGAGTTTGTATAATTACATTGTATATAACTAAGAATAGCAACAATTTATTTTATTTGTTAAATTTACAGGAAAAATCTGATTAAATATTTGATTTCCACCTCCCTACAGAAATATATATCAAAAAAGCAAACAACAAACCCAAAAAATAAAAAAAACAAACAAATAACAAATCTTAAAAATGATACAGTGCTTTTGTACATTTCATTTTAAAAACAGAAAGTTCAAGATATAAAAATTCATCAAAATAATTAAAGTTTTGCAAAATATGGTAAAAGAAAGAACGTTGGGATATATTTAGATGAAAAAAAGAAGTAAAAATGAAAGTAAATGAGTGAAGTTTTCTTTATGGAATTTGGAGTGAAAACTAATCTTGATAAATGAGACCTTAAAATATTTATAATATATTAGCCAGTCAAAATATTTAATTCTCTCAAAGAAAGATGGGAAGCCCAGGCAAACTCTAGCGATATTGGAGTCAAGAGTGAAAGGCACATTTTATTAAATGTAAGGTATATCTTATTAATAGCAGAAGTAATCCTGTGTAAAAGGAAAAGTGCAGTCATTGACCAGATAGGAATTAGGATAATTAATAGAATTTGTTTTATTGAGAATTTAAATCAATTAAATGGGACATATTAATCTCCTAAGGAGATATTAAGAATTTTATGATTAGTAAAAAAAAAAAAATTTGATTTCTGATTGGTTTATAAAATATAATCAAAAATGTTAAAATTATTATTTAAATTTTTATAATCACATTAAGATAAAACTTCAATTAATTCATTTTATTCAAACAGAATTATAACTCATGATATACAGTCGTCATCTCATTCAACGGATATTTTGGAACCTGTTTGCATTTTAAGTAAAGACTTCTCTCACACTGTAACACCAGTAAGTTTGTGTTTACTTTGTTTAACTTATTTATTAAATTTTAACTCTGTGAAATAATAAGTGAAATAAGTAATCTGTAGATTTAAATCTAATATGCAGATCTACAACTCTCAATACTCTGTCTTTAAATTTAAACCTATTTTATGTTTACCAATGGCCAAATGGATAACACTACTGAAAACTGGTAGTTGGTCATGAGTTTGTGACTTATCAATGGACTGGCCACATGGAGTTTTCCATATAAAGTCCTCTTGGAATGCATTCTCCTCTGTAGATTGCCTACATGTTACATTATCTTATACAGGTATCTCTTGATTAATGCAGTTAATTAATCCCTTGATGCTACCATGTATGTCAAAATTGCATTAATTAAATATGTTATCTATATTAAGCAAGGACAGCTGGTAAAGTCGTGTCAATTAAAACTTCTGCTGTGTATATAAAGAGATTGCCGCAATTAATTTTTCAGTTTAATCAAGATTAAATCTTGCTTTAAGCAAGGGATAACTCTACAAACAAACTTATTTTATATATTAATTCATACAGATGCATAACTTGATTAATAATTATTTATTTAATACAAGATTCACACTATTTACACTGGACTAATAAGTAAAATTATTAAATTATACAAATTTGTGTTTAGGTTATATTAAATATATAGATTAATAATTTAAAAAAATTGATAATATAAAATAATAACTAATTTTAAATAATGAAATTTATTAAAATGACAAATTTTGTATTTATCAAAAATAATTTACTATTTCAAATAAATGAATTAAATTCAAATTAATTAAAATAAATAATAATAAATTGTTATACATTGATTCTAAAATTCAAATTATATAACCTACCTATGTTTAGTTCTAATTTCAATAGTTCATTTTTTAGAGGTTTTACACTTTTCAGAATTTCTAAGACAAAACAATCAAATAAAACTACATACGACTTTGATACTTACCGATATAATAAAAGTTACTATGCACAAAATAGGATAAGTTTTGGCTTTTTTAATTATATGACATGATCTTTATCCAGAGATACAGCAATAATAGTAGTAAAAATTTTCAGTTCTTCTATATTAGCTAGTGAAAATTTATATGAGGATGAGTTTGTTTAATAGCATAATATTCCGCTATGAAACGAGAAAACACTGCTTGGTATATCATGAAATTTTTAATAATCCCAAAACTAAAGGTTTTTTTATTGTCTGCAAATTCAATAGTATTAAACCGTAAAGAGAATTTATGAACCATTATAAAGCAAGAGTATGAGGAATAAGCTCTTAATAAGAAAAATGGACTTATTGCAAAATTTAAAGAAACATAATTCTCTTGTATGATCTGTAACTATGATGACAGTAAGTTAGCTGTAATTAAAGTTAAAGAACATGTTGTTAGTATTATTTACATTGTTAATTATCTTTAAATACACTAACAGTTTGAATTTCTATATAATAAACAGTAAATTCACTAACCCAATCGTGAATTAATACTATTATTCTGCTATAATAATGACATTATTGTAGCCCAATAATAATGTCAATCATTCGGTATTATTTCTATAAATTATTTGACAATATTTTCTTTTATTCAGACGTTTGAATACTTGTCTGTATAAAAATATTTTTTTAAATTTAGGCATTTCATTTGAATTGTTATTCTGTTGAATCAGAAATGAATATTTTAATTTTAAAAACTTGTATTTCTAGGATTGTTTTCATTCATTATTGAAATTATTACGCTGGGCGTGGCAATCATTTAAAGCAGGCTTATGTGAAGCTGCCGAAAGTTCATCGGTTCCTGCAACTGCAGTCGTTCTTGATCTTGAAAGATTGGTATATATATGTTGCGCAAGTCTTCATCTCCTTCATATATATATAAATGAAATATATCCCAATTCTTGTAAGTATATTTAATTTGATTTATTTTTAATACTTCTAAGAAAAACAGAGATACAAAATATTTAATATTAAAAATCCAATTAATAGTTTATTCAACAAAAAGAAAATTCTTTATTAAAATAAAAACACTGAAGTTTTTTAGTTTTCAAATTTTATTTTTCATTATTAGGAAATTCTCTAGTATGATTAGTAGAAATTTAATATCTTTTCTCACAAAAATTGGAAAATATAAAATTAACAGAAATAAACTCTATTATAAGGAAAATTTTCAAGAGAATGTGTTTTTGAAGTTGTTTTGTTTTGAAATTGTAATATGATGAATATGTGAGATACTGTGGGCCAAGGGTTAATCCCTTCTGACCACTTACTCGGCAACAGTCTGCAAGGACTGTTCATGCTGTCATTTCAGATGGCTTTTTATCGAGTGGCAAGGGAGGTGAGCAAGTCGGCAGGTGTTTTTTCAAAGACAGGAGACAGGTTTAACAAATAAACAAAGCATTTATTGAATAACTAAGGTTAACAAAGTCAGTTAAATGCAATTAAATATGAGATAAATATACAAAGGGGCAGCTCTTAGTAGCTAAGCTATTCTCGGAGCGAGAGAGAGTTCACAATGCTCTTATAAAAAATACCTCTATGAGGAAACGAATGGTATGCGTCGAATGGTTCGTAGGAATCATAGTTTGGCATAGAACTGTAGTATGGCGATAAGTATGGAAGTTCAAAGCTGTGGTCTGTCTTCTACCGATATCTTTTCCTTTCGTTTGTTCGAGTCCGTTGTATGGAGGTCTGGGAGACGAGATGCACACATTGACAAGTATAACTTCCTTTGGATTGCACTGAGCTTCTGGGGCTTGAGCTTTTATTCGATTGTTGTGGGAAAGGAGTCACATGATCGTCAAATGTTGACAATAACTGTGCATTCTTTACACCTATATGTCAACTTTCCCATCTAATTGTTATCACAAACGGTGACCTTCGATCTAATTCTCACAAGGAGCATTTTTTCTATTGGAGTTGTTTACATTTTTTATTTCCCGACAACTGCGTTAAATTTGCAGATTTCACAAATAGAAGCATGTAAATATTACATTATTTTGAATTTAAAATGCATTTTCTTCATGTGTTTTGAATTTAAATTTAGCACATTTCCATCTTTTAATTTTCTTTCGAATACAACTTGATATGGTTAGAAATAGCATAAACATGCTAAATCTTAGCACAATTTATTAAATTACTAATCATCATTTTCAGAGATGTTCAGTGTTCATCATTAGTCCAAGTCATTCATTCAAGTTCAGTCATTTCTATATTTGAACATTTTAACCAAATATGAGTTTTAATATTTGAATTAGTAACTTTACAATGAACTTTACAAAGATTCAATCAAGATGCTATGTAGAATGAAACTCTGTTCCATTAAAAAATTCAATATAGTTTAAAAAGTTTTTTGTTCTATACATTTTATAATTTTTTTTCACATCTTATGCTTTATAATGTAATCTCCATACATTTAAATATGTTTGTATGTATGTATGTTCAAATTTTTAAGTCATCTTAACTTCAGGTAATCTGTCACTCTTAAAAAATTTATATTTAATGAAAATTTCAGTTTTTTTTAATATTTTTTATTATATTAAATACATTATTAATGCTTTTAATTTTTTACTAAATTCACATTTGATTGTTATCCAATTTTTTCTTGAAGTTCCTTTATTAAAAGTTTGAAAGTTAAATTTGAATATATCTTATATCAAATAGCATAATATTCCGCTATGAA